CAACTATCACCAATAGACCATCCCTTAATTATTGTAACGACTATTTCTTTTCCACACTCGGCATGAAGCTGTGATTTGCATTCCTCTAGGAAATTAAAATTTGATGGGGAGGGTGCTAGGGTTGCAAGTCCTGGCAAAATAATCATTGTCGCAATCATGAAAATCAAGATTGTAGAAGTTTGATAACCAGTGAACCTCGCCATTTTTTATTTTTTTAAAATATACTTTGTTGCCAATGAAGCTATAGAATAGTGGAGAATCTATAACAAATTTGTCTTTTTATAAGTCTAATGTTATTGATGATGTGAACCGCATTTACAGTGAAAACATATTTGGTAGTTTAACTCCAAACAAAACAGTAGATTAATTCAATCTCATTCATTTTAGATTTTAATAGTTTGCACACGCGTTTTTATGGGTTTATGAATTAATTAATTTAGATTTAAAAATAAGTTAAAAAACTATCATTGTCGGTTCTTGTGCAACTAAAGAATAACTCAAGCTTGAATTATATATAAAGTTTTGGTTAAATGAAATATTTAATTGGAAAGCATCTATATTTGACTGAAAACCTTTGGAAATTTTGTTACTTTGTAAATTGTGAATTCTCATTTGACACAAAAACTTATATTTATTGTTTTTTGGTACATAAGTTAATCGCAAATGAGTGCTAGTTCTATTATTCTAAATGAACAGGTCATAGAAATTTGTTCACCCTGAGAATAAAAGAGTATGAATTTGACAAAAGTTGTGATATCCCATTCCTAAATTAATATTCAAGTAAAAGAAATTTTACATTGAGAGTATTTTAATGGGTTTAAAGTTGACTTTTTGTTTGGGAAATAATTTGGGGATTTGAGTAGTACCGTTGCGTAAAGCGCGACGATATGAATACGTAGACACGTAGTGGGCTCAAATCGGAGTTATAACGAAGATGTTACAATCAACGGAAGTGCAATGGAACAACTATAAATATTTCGAAGTCTTTTTTTTAAAAAAATTTTTAAAAAAACCTGGTCTCTCTTCCTTTCTCTCACGTGTCTCTCCTCTTTTCTCTCTCCTCCTCCCCCGATCTCTCTCCTCTCTTGCACAACTGGCCACTGTTTTGGCCTGCAGCTTCCTCTTCCAACCACAAGACCACTACCAAAACCACTAGCCTGGCTTCCTCTCTCCGACCCACACCTTCTTTGCCACAACCGCCGCTTGTGTCGCCGGAAATAGCTCAAAAACAGCCAGTTTTTTCTAAACTTTCCGTCGTTGTTTCCGACGATTCTGACTACCAAATTTGGCAATCCAGGTATTCTTTCTCATCCTTTCGACGTGACTTAGCTAATGGTTAGGTTGGTTAGGATTGATTTTGAAGTTTTGAAGCTCGATTTACGATATAAGTTCTTGCCGATTTTCGGCTCGAATTTCGGACAAGGTCCGACCACTTTTTGGACGTGGCCCCAAGAACAAAAGTTGCTTCATTAGTTTGTCCTGATTACGTAGGTATAGGTATTGTTAGGTGTTTTGAGAATTTTCATGTAGCCAAAATTTTCTCCATCCACCCACGCTGCCGGCACGTGGGCCAAGTTTGGGTTTCTCATTTGGTCCTAAAATTATCCCCATGTCCTTCCGAGCACAACGGTATGCTCGAATTCAAATTTGGTTATTGTTTGATAGTTGAACCGATTTTAAAATATTAGGCGATATCCGAGTTCATATGCTTGAACCGTTGGATTGACTCCATTTCCAAATACGTTGATCTAGGAACGTCTAGGATCGTGTAGGAACTCACGGATCGAGAATCAGAGTTTGGATGCTCCCAATTCAAAGATTCAAAGATTACGTAAAACGGTGACTGTCCAATCATGCGATATGAGCGCTCCAACCACTCGATCTAGACCAAAATTGCAAGACATTTTAGTAAACTTTTTTGAACCCATAGGAACTTTTGGATTGTTAATCGGAGATCGTGGACCCCAAGGAGGATTGGGTTGACCAATATAAGAATTTAATCGTATATTTAATCTCGGGTCTTTTCAAACCATTCCAATTGTGAAAACTGTTGCAAATGAGCCTTGGAACTTTCTTAAGTTACGCACACGCACTTTAAGGTCAGCGTTTAGGGTTTTTATTAAATATTTGTGGTTGTTATATGGGTTTTGCTTTCCAAGCATACAGTTTGAATTCAAATGCTTTTATAAATTTTGTTATGATTAAATGTAAATGGCTTGGAAAGTAGAAAAGGAAATGGTAACCGAGTTTAAGGATAGAGTGAGAAATGGTATTATAATTTTTCAGGGAAGGTTTTTAAACCACCATAGGTACCCAAAATATTACCTTCGAATGTAATGATGTCCATGGACATCCTAGTTGCCTTCGATTGAGTCAGCGCGCGTTTGACAGTTGACCCACGAGTCCTAGGGATACGGCTCAGGTTGACCAAGTGTCTCCTGAGTTTTGAGAGGAATGTGGCTCAGGTTAACTTTGTGTTTTCGAGTTATGCGAGGAGGTGTGGCTTATGTGACACTTGAAATTGATGGTATAATGTGGGAAATAAATAGAAAATCATGGAATTGACAAATTTATGAAGGGTACACCTAGGTGGAAAGGAATTATTATTTTTCAATGCTTTCAAATGGTTTGATGAATTGATTGAATGTATGAACGGTTATATGAATTCAAATATGCTTGATTTTGGTACGAATATAGAACATGGATTAAATGAGTCTTCAAATGTTTTTTAATAGTGGGGTTAGTATGTTGATATTATATTTTGCAAAACTTTCTTTTGTTCACTCACTATTTTAATGTTTTGCGCCCCGATGCAGTAATCGAGTACCGGAGAACCACCACTAGGCATTCATCACCCACCACTCGTCCACTTCCTTTATGTAGGATATCCTACTGTAACCATTCTATTTTTGTAATTAAATTATTCAATATGCTCTGATATTGCCCTAGGATTTTTGTAAGGCCTGAGGCCACACAGATTTGCTGTTGGATTGTGTGTGCTCTAACATTGTGCATGTGGATATAAGAATTGCATGTTGTACATGTGTAAATTATTGGAAACAAGCAATTTACAGGGGAGACTGCCAATTTTTCGGCAGAAGTCAAACTTTAAAATAATTTCTAATTTTAGTTTAAGGGCAATTTGGGGTCAAATGTGTCTGGAACCTGATGAAGGAAACATGCATCTAATGCATAGGAAATTAACTTTAGCCACAACCTATACGACAAAAACATTCTAAATGGAGAATTCATTTGTTTATATTAGTTTAGCTAAACCTTTTTCATTTTAAACTAGTATCTTACCACACCAAATGCTCATAGAGATGAAGAGAAGGCAATCAAGAAGTATGTATGCTACCCTACTTCTTGATTGGACCAATTTACGGTTTATGGAAGATGAGATGCAAAGATTATCACTCATCAACCAAAGTAGGAAATAAAAACCCAATCTAGGTTTTCTCCCAACACTTAGCTTTTGGGTGGGTATTGGGGCCCCATTTGGTCTAATGGGTCATGTCATCTTTATGCCACTTATCCCTTGGGCCAAATAGCTTTTTAGGCTATTTTATCAATTTCCTTTTAAATCATATTTAGAAGCTCAATCCAATATTTCCATATGTCAATATTAATTCCATAATTAGTCTTTTTAATTATATTTTACTATTAAATTATAATTATAGTCTTACTTAATTGACCCGGTCCAACTATTTGACTTTGGTCAATTGCTCCAGTCAACATGTTGACTTTTGACCGTTGACTTTGACATTTGATTATCAACCATTGACTTGTCTCCCTATTTGTACATCTAATCACATTCTTTGGTGTGCACCATAGGTTCCTTTAGCAAGATAGTGGGTTTAACTCAACTCCTCAGAGATGAGATACGAATTAAATTCCACAATTTAATTCTTCCTATTAATAACGTTAATTGAAACCTTTTAGGACATCCACAAACCATGTTTGTCACTTAGTAGCAAGTCATGGTTATCCGAGCTAAATGAGACGTTGTGAAATAACTTATTCAAATTGGAATGACCGTGCAATTGAATCCTTCTCTTATGTCAATACTTTCTTATTCACATTATTAAATCATGGAATCTGATTGTTAATATCCTAATGCGAATCATTCTTTTATATAATTGTCCTGGTAAGATTTGAAGACTTCTTCTTTCAAGTCTTATAGACTATTATGTGCAGAGATTTGACCAATCATATCTTGGAGTATTCTCTCTCCTTTACTGAGAGTAGAGATTACTTTTTGTACATTCATTTGCTTCCATGACTCTATTGAAAATCCTGATGAGCACTTTTTAAGCTATGCCTAATTCAGCATGACTGTATAGTGCCCTCAAAGATTAACAACATAGCCCACAAAACATCTATGATGCCTCAAGTCTAAGGATTAGTTTTGCACCATTGCAATTTATGAGTTCCAAGTTGACATGAGAGTAAAGACTTCCATGCTGTAACTCATGTGTTGGATCGCGTTCAGTGCACTTGTTTTTCTACAAGCACCTACACATATCATGTGTCTCCACTGTAACATCTCACATCACCAACGAGAGGGGTGATGTGCCTTATATGTACATGCCCGCCTTTATCTAGTACGAGACCTTTTGGGAGCTCACTGGCTTCGGAGTTATGGGAACTCCGAAAGTTAAGCGAGTTGGGGCCAGAGCAATTACAGGATAGGTGACCCACTGGGAAGTTGCTCGTGAGTTCCCATAAATAAACCGTGAGAGCAAATAAGAGGGCCCAAAGCGGACAATATCGTGCTACGGCAGAGCCGATCCCAGGATGTGACAATTTGGTATCAGAGCCACTCTGCCATGTGGTGGGAGTGTGTCGACGAGGACGTCGGGCCCCTAAGGGGGTGGATTATAACATCCCACATCGACCAATAGAGAGGGGGTGATGTGCCTTATATGTACATGCCCACCTCCATCTAGCATAAGGGCTTTTAGGAGCTCACTGGCTTCGGAGTCATGAGAACTCCAAAGTTAAGCGAGTTGGGGCCAGAGCAATTTCAAGATGGGTGACCCATTGGGAAGTTGCTCGTGAGTTCCCAAAAACAAACCGTGAGGGCAGAAGGGGGCCCAAAGTGGACAATATCGTGCTACACGGAGCCGATCCCGGAATGTGACATCCACACTTAATGACTTTAGATATTTCCATTCCCTACATATAAAACAACCTTTCTTGCCCATTGATAATATAATATGTCTTTTATCAAAGATATCCTTACTCTAACTATTACATAATTAGTTGGGATTTGTAGGAGGATTGGTAGACCTCCTATGCGCCTCTGACCATAATACACATAATTTAGGCCCAAACACAACAAAACCCTAAAATCACACTCAAGAACTAACTGGCTGCCGTTGCCACCTGATGTCACCGCCAGTAGAGGAAGGTCCATGAGAATCGACAAAGGAGATCTGAAGAGCGTGGATTCGAGGAAGAAAGGCACTACCATGTATCAAGCTCAAACGATCTATGGATTGGTCTAAATTGACCATTAAACTACAAGTCCACTCCTCCATAGCAAAAACTCAAATATGAGGATAGGTTGTAGGAGATGAACAACAGCAAGAAAATCCTATGGAAAAGGAAGGGGTTTAGGGTTAAAGAGTTCATGGGAGGGGAAGAGAAATAGGCTGAAGGGGGGTGGGTGGATGAGAGGAGAAGGGAGAGAGAGGGTGAAATGGTTGTAAAGGAGTGGAGAGAAAAGATTGAGGAGATCTGGGCCAATAGCAAGAAAAAAAGAGTAGAAAAAGCACACTAAAATAAAAGACAGAAAAGGAAAATAAAAGCCACACCAGAGGGTGGCAAAGAAGCCACACCAAAGGGTGGCGGAGAGGCCACACCATAGGTGGCAGAGAAGCCACCCCGAAGTGTGGCAACACAACCAGAAGTTCAGAAAAGAAAGATGGAAGGAAATAAATTCTAGAGAGAAAAGGGAGCCTCTCTTTCTAAAGTTCTATAACTTCATTCCACTGTGGTAAGTGCACTTTTAGAAATGCAATTCTAGATTCATGGTATGGACTTCCCATGTAGAGGGGAATTTCATACCCTTTGGCTCAGATAGTGAATTTTTACCCCACCTGGAAAAGCATTTAATGCAAATTTTTATGACTAACTTACCCATATTCTATTTTAAAATACTATGTTCTACCCTTACAAAAACTCTTTGTATCTCTTTCTTTTTTTTAATTGTTTATTTGTGTTAACCTACGCTTCCTCTTCTCTCAAATGTTCCTTTTTTTTTCTTTTCTTTTTTCAATTCATTAGGGCAAGGCAACAGGGGGCATACGACTTCCTCAGAAGAGATTTCTCTTGACCCTTCATTCCAAAATTCACAAAGGATCAGAGCTTTTGTTGGTTGATTACAATTTTTCATGTTACTTTGCTGCTTGATTAGTAGAGGTGTCAGATGGACCAGACTGGCTTGAGCACGGGCCTCTTAAGTAAGGCCTAGCACGACACGACCCGTATCTTTGGGCAGACTGGGACAAATAATTAGGCCCCATTGATTGGGTGGGCCGTAGACCGTTGCAGGCCATGCCAAGCCGAAACCCAACAAGTCGTCTTGTTTAAAGCCCACTTATTTCTTAAATTCAAGTGTATTTCTTTTGTCTAATAATATGTTTTAAAATTTAATGTTTTCTTTCTAGATAAAATAATGATTTTAATTGTCAACTGTCAATTTTAAAATCCAAACATTAATCTAGTCATTTTCTATTTAAATCTACTTTAAATAAGTTATTGGCCTCTTTTTTCAACAAATCACAAATCTTATTTGTATATACATAATTTTAAAAAGATTTAAATGAAGTCAATACCTAAGTCAAATTTGGCGTGGGCCCATCTGGCTATTTTAATGGCTCGGTATGAGCACGGCTCGAGCCTACATGGGTTAGAGTCGTGGGCTTGTGGGCTGAGATTGATGATTTTCATAAATGAGCAAGCCCGGCATGACCTTTTATTAAATGGGATGACTTTAAATGGTCCGGACCGGCACGGCCCATTTGACACCTCTATTGATTACGAATGTATATAATGAAATGAATTTGTTGTCCCTTTTAATTATGTGACTTTGAAATCCTTAGAGAGAGAGAGAGAGAGAGAGAGAGAGAGAGAGAGAGAGACATATCGCTTCATTAAGGAATTCCTCAAATAAGCTTATTTGAGGGACACCCATCCTCATACTAAATTTCTTCAAACACAGACCCTAAATCCTCATATCAAATTTCTTCAAACACAAACCCTAAATCAAATTCCTCAAATTCATATCTCCACATACAAACCCTCATATCCTCTTATAAAAAAACCCCTAAACATCAAGGATGTCATCTCATCTTCCAAAACCACTGACTCCACTCCACCATCCTCCCAAATTGTTACTATTCACAGTGACAAAGCTCCGTTCCCTACTAGCTTCACCTTGACTAGGTCCAATTATGCCTTATGGTCTCAAGTCATGGAGATGCATATTGCTGCCTGCGACAAATTGGGGTACCTAATCGGTGACACTCTGCAGCCTTCTAAGCTCTCCTCCACCTATAGCAAATGGTGTACAGAGAACTTTCGGGTCAAAGGGTGGCTCATCGACTCCATGTCTCCCCACTTGATGAGTCGCTTAATCCGTTTAAGTACCGCCAAAGAAATCTGGGATGCAATAAAGAAAACCTACTATGATGGTGGGGATGAAACTTATATTTTTTATCTTAACAAACGGGCATTCACCATTAAACAGAACGGTCCACTCGTCCACAAATAATACAACCAGCTGTAGCACATCTTTCAGGAAATTGATCATTGCACTCCCAATCGCTTGCACTGCGACGCTGACGTGACTGAGCGCCAGATAGAACTGGATCGTCTTCATGTTCACATTTTTCTTGCCGTTCTCGACCCTGAGTTTGATCAAGTTCGAGGGGAAATCCTACTCAAAGATCCAAAATTAGACCTTGACCAAACCTTTGCATATGTATGTCGCGAAGCTCAACAACGACTGACCATGGGCCAGTGTTCCGGAAACTGTTGTCATGGTCACTCAACGTCAATGGGGCCCTCAGATATCTACCGATGGTTCTTCTCAGACTAAGGTCATAGGCTCTCGTCTGGAGCATAAATTCACTCACTGTGGTGGAAGCAAACATTCCCGTGTTGGCTGTTACAAATTGATTAGGTACCCGAATTGGTGGGATCACTCCGAAACCCCCCGCAAGAATAGTAGCAAAGCACTCAACACATCTTCTGACTCAGATCCTGTAAGTCCTGCTATTTCAATTACATCGGCTCTCGCCTCTACATCTGTAGCCACAACAGGTACCCAAGGTTATGTTTTACATAGTTCTTCAAAGAAACACACATGGATCATTGACATCGGAGCCACTGATTATATGACCTTTGATCCTGGACAAATTGCCTCTCATGCACCGCCTCCTCAATTGGTGGTGTCTAATGCCAATGGTACCACATCCCCCATAATTGGGGAGGGTTTACTCTCTCTCTCTCTATGACTCCCTCAACATAATCTCTTGTTTGTTTCCTAAATTACTATAGCTTTGAATTGCACTATAACCTTTTGGCCTCATTGTGTTTTATAGGACATTCTCAGCAGTAAGACGATTGGTTGTGGTACTAGTAGGAGCAAACTCCATTACCTAGACTTGGCATCTGATAGTGCAGCCAGCATTAGTCAAGCTTACAAAATTTGGGGTGCTAGTGTTGAGAAGCACATTGCCGAAGTATGGTTATAGCATCTGCGTCTTGAACATGCTTCATTTGGATATTTACAGAAGCTATTTCCTTCCTTATTTTTCAATTTTGATCTTTCCAGTTTTAAGTGTGACATTTGTGAACTGGCCAAGAGCCATCATGTTCCTTTTCCCTTAACTTGAAATAAAAGTTTGGCTCCATTTTCTTTTGTTCATTCTAATGTTTGGGGCCCTGCTAAAATTACCACTCCGAGGGGAGCTCGATGGTTTGTCATGTTTATAGATGATTGCATTTGCATGACCTGGGTTTCGCTTCTCAAAACAAAAGGGGCAGTCAGTTCCAAGTTTCAACAGTTCTATCAAATGGTGGAGACTCAGTTTCATGCCAGAATTCAGATTCTTCGTTCTGACAATGGCAGAGAATTTCCCAACCATAATCTTAACAAGTTCTCACAAGATCATGGCATCATACATCAATGCTCATGCCCCTACACTCCCCAACAAAATGGAGTCACTGAAAGAAAGAACAGAAATTTATTGGAAGTAGTTCGTACCTCTCTCTTTGGTGCTAATATGCCTCGATATTTTTGGGGAGAAGCCGTCATCTTTGCAGCATACCTCATCAATCAGATTCCCTCCAGTATCCGAAATTTCCAAACACCTCTTCAAACACTTCACCATAATATCCAAATACCTCCTACCCCAAACCTGAAACCCCGGATTTTTGGCTGTGTTGTATTTGTCCACTTACATGATCACCAACAAAGCAAATTGGAACCCTGAGCTGAAAAGTGTGTTTTCATTGGCTATGCCCCTCCTCAGAAAGGATACCGGTGTTGTCATCCTCTTAGTCAGAAGGTCTATACCTTCATGGATGTTGTGTTTCAGGAACATGACTTATATTCTTCAGCAGCATAGGAGGAGAATAAAGAATCCACCACATCTCAAATTCTCGATTTTTTCCCCAGGACGTCACTCCACATTGTATTTCACTAATTCAAACAATTTATTTTGTAGATATTCATTCAAAAATTATCTCTACAAAAAATCACTTAAATTCGATACGCAAATGTGATGTTTTAAACAGTTTTCTTGCATCCAACTATATGTTTAGATAACTCACAACATACATTAAATAAAGGCAGTTGTACCTTGGAAGCCGAACACAAAGACATGTGTACAATGGAAAACCAAAACAAAGGCAGCTGCTAATGAATTGGTTGGATAGAGTAATAGAAATGGTGGAACATGTGTTTATACTTCCTATGCACTGATATACAATGATATGAAAGTTCTTGAGTTGATTTGTTAGCAAAAAAATAAAGATATAAACATATCCTGACATTAAAAATGCCACAGACTTTCTCATTAGAGAACTATATAATTCCTTCTTTAATCTTCTTTTATGGGTAGGACCACTAGGGCTTGTCCTTCGTTGACTATTTATGCATTCAATTTCTACATGCTTCCTTCTCCTCCATGCTTCAGGGATTTGGTCACAAGCAAGGCACTGATTGCCAAAGTTTATTACACATATGTATTGATTTTGTTTGGGGTCCACCCTTGCAAGCAATACTATTCTACTGCTCATAATCTCATTATAGTCCTCGTTATCAATTTGTTCCAAGTTTCTCTTCATCTGGCCACATGATTGGAGCTTTTGTTTTTGTGTTTTTGTTTTTGCATGTCTTTTAAGTAGAAAAAGATTTTTAAAATATTAACAACCCCCACCCGCCTATGGTGTAAAATGAATGGATATTTCTAGGAGCAAAAATTACTCCTCAAGAAATTAATCCACTCACACCTTAAACTTGGGGAACTGGAGCTACAATCAAGAAATATGTTTTATTTTTTATCCATGATCATACAACAATGAAATCTTGGAATTACAAGATTGATGGCTAAGGCCTATGTTAGTATGAAAATTGTATTGTCATTTCCTAGATTCTAGCATAGGTTGGGAGTTAGTGTGTGAATATCGTTTACTAGAAGTTTTGGCGCAACACATTCAATCCCAAATTTCCGAAGTGTGACTTGATCAATATGAGGAAACTAATTTCAGGTAAATCATGACATAATCATGCATTCATTATAGGATTCCTAGTTGGAATTATTTTCACTCAAGTATTTTTATGTTAATCCTATTTTTAATAGGATTATATTTTATCTTTTGATATTATTTCCTACTTGATTGGTCTAATTAATTTGTTTAGGTAGATATTGTTTTAAAATATTAGCTATAGTGGAAAGTCATTAGGTTTCCTCACAACTTGCATTAGTTGGCGTCATCACATAGCATGTGAATGAAATTAGAATTTAAATTGATAATTGGATAATTGTTTGGCTGTTGTTTTGGCGTCTCATTGAAGAGAACTTTTTGCATGATGTTTAGAAGTCTTAGTTGAATTGGTTTTGTGAATCTTTGTTGCATAGGAAGTGTAGTCACGTGGGTTTCTCTCAAGTGAGAGAAACCTTCATGGAATAAAACCATTGTTGTTTCTTTTGATCAGTAGCTTTCAACGTATTGAATTTTCTTTGAATATATTGAATCTATTTTGAGAAAGGTGTTGTGCTTATTTTCTTAGATAAGTGATCAAGTGTTCCTTGTTTACTTGGTGATTTATCAAATCCTTTCTTCTTTCATATTGCATTCATATGCATGTCAGTGACTCATACGGTTGAGGGCACCAAGACCATGGTGGCGGTTTTCCTCCGACGAGTTTGAAGCAATCATGACTAGTATTTTGTTCAACATAAGGAGTGTTGAAGATCATCCTGTGATAGAAGTTGAGTTACGAAGAAGTCGGTAAACATTATCTAGAATAGGTCTAGGATAAGTGTGTGAGTACTTCTTGTAATCATCGTTCTATAGTGGATTTGTGTTGGACTGAGGAGTCTCGTGGATTTTCCCCAGAGGTGGGGTTTTACCACGTAAAATAATTCTTTGCGTGTTCTTTTATTTTCTGCCCAACGCGTTTTAGGATTGATAAGCCATATCAATCTTGGTACCGAAGTTTATTTTTATTTATTTGATTATAATTTAAATTCATTCACCCTCCTCTAGGCATTTTTAGTCATCCTACATGTATTTTCAATTGGTATCAGAGTAGGTTGCTGGACATACTCAGCAAGTTCTAACATACCTTAGGACGGATCGTGTCGCGAGCTCTGTTGCACATCCCCCATATTTTGATGGTAGCAACTATGGCGCTTGGAAGGCCAAAATGAAGTCATTTCTTTGGTCCTTAGATGAACGTGTATGGAGTTCAGTGGTTCATGGATTTCCTAAACACACAAAGAAGATAGGAAAAGGAGATGAAGAAACCACAGTCCTCAAATGTGCCAACACCTTAAAGAAGCAAAAGGATGGGAAGAATAAGGCACTGCATACTGCGTGGAGTGACAGTGATTCTGACTCTAAAAATAATAAAAAGGCCATTGCACTTATCACGACCGTAAGCTTGGATGAACTAATGAAGAAGGATGATGATTGTGAGATATGAATATTGAGTTTATCATGAACAAATATGATGATTTGTTGGCTGCTTCTCAAAAACTCAGCAAACAATATGAAGAGCTCATAAAATCCATTGTCGTGCTGAAGCTGGAAAATTGCAGGATTGCAAACGAGTTTCAGTCCCCTGATGCAGATTTCGAAAAGGTAAGGGCAGGTATGAACGAAAAATTGATGTTTTTGCAGAAAAAATTGACTGATAAGAATAAATTAATTGCATCTCTAACTTCTGACAACAAAGCCCTTGAACTTGAACTTAAAAATTCAAAGGAATTCTTTCTAATTTGTCACTTTTATGGAACTCGTGGGCACATAAGACCAAGATGCAATAAGCTTCGAAACAAATTTGTTCGTTCAAATTCTCATGTCATGGGTGGAAAAGTAAGTATCCAACATAAGATTTCAAATCTTATGAAAGAGGTAAACCGCTTATCCTTTTCATTATTTGCCGTCAACTAAGACAAAGTTAGTTTGGAGGAAAAAGGAAAATCATAATTGTATGTTTTCCTCCACTAATGTTGTGCATGAACCCATTGCTTTAGAAAGTTTGGATCTTAAATGTCTTGTTGCAAAACCTTTGGATAATCTTCGATTTGATACTCTTGGAAAGTCTTTAGGTATTTGTTCTTTTGAATAATTGTTTGTATGCATGCCAAAAGACTCTTGCTATTCTCTTCTCTGTTTATTAAATTGATTTAATTCTAAGTATTTTGTTCAGCACATGCAGGGATTGATAAGGGATATCAATCCTACTAACGTCTAGAAGTTTTTGCTGATCTTAGATTGGATTTTTGGTGTTGGATCACTTTGGGCAGATTAATGTTGGGTTTTTGTGAATGGTTATCAACTGTCTTTGTTTTTTATAAAGTCAATTAAATGCTCTTTTTATTAAATCTCATGTCTCACATATAGCACATACACTCTAATCTTGCTTAACAATTTTGAATGAATCCTCACCTTGCCCTTGTCTTGATACTAGATTTGCATTGTACTTTTTGCTACTAAGCTCACAAATTTATAACATCTCTTTAATTAAAAGCAAAGTAAAATAAGTGCTTGATCGTGGCGAAGTAATTGGGCCTCTTGTCTAACCAACGCTGAGGTTCGCGTCAAAAAGCATTGATCTTGTACACATTGTTCTTTGTAGCCTACTTGACTCGAGTTAGTACATCCTAGGGGTGCTTTAACTCCCACTGTCTTAAAGTCAACTAACTTGATCACATTGATTTAACACCCGTTACATGGGTCTTGTAGAAAGCTTGATAAAGTTAGCATTTAAAAAAAATTATAATTATAAATATAAATAAATAAATAGGGTGAAAATGGTGACCTCTGTATGCATTTTGTATGTGTTTATTCTATGTTCTTGGCTTGATTTTGGTTGGACTTTTTCTTTGTTATTAAGCAAGTTTAGTCACATAACACGAGATTGGGCTTTAATATTTTTGCTCATTTGATGGACTTTATTTCTTACAAATACTTTTGATTCTCCATTTTATAATCCTTGTGTTTGATTAAATCTTTGTGATTTGATGTGCCTTAGATCCTGAAAGGCTTTGCTTCAAATGCTTCTAGACAGATATTGGTATTGGCTTTGCTTGTCTATCCTTATGCTTAGTGTTCGCATGGTCTTATGATTTTTTTTGGCATGAATGAAGGAGGAGTCTTGGGTTCTTATTAAGCATAGTAATTGGTGATTCTATGTGTTTTGATTGATGTCTTTGTGGTTTTGTCTCTTTTCTAAGTGTTGCTTGTGTTCTTTGTTTATTATTCAAATTTTTTTTCTATGGCTTTATCTTTTTTTATTAAAACAAAAAACAAAAAATTTCGAAACATCATTTGTTTTCAAACACAGTGTTTATCCCTCATATTTTTGGTGATAATTATTCTCTCATATTTTTGCTATTTTAATGCATGCTACTGTTATCCCTTTCTTTTTGGCTTCTGACATCTTGCTATTTCTTGGGCCTTCAATTGGTGATTTCTTTATGCCTTTATATTAGCTCCTTTATGTTCCTTCCTTCCCCTTTGGATTTCCTGACAAAAAGGGGGAAAGATGACTGTGTGAAATTATGATAAAAAGGGGGAGAGATTGTGTTCTGGAATTAAGGGGGAGTGATGCTATAATTTTGCTTTGAATTACATTTCTTCTCCCACATGCTTCACTGGTTTTGTTATTTCATAATGTGCAAGGATTTAGAGGTTCGAGTTCAGACTATGATTTCATTTGTTAAATCCCATGTAATTTATTTTAAGCTGTAATAGGTGTTTTGTCTAGGAAATGTCAAAGGGGGGAGATTGTTAGTATGAAAATTGTATTGTCATTTCATAGACTCTAGCATAGGTTGGGAGTTAGTATGTGAATATCGTTTACTAGAAGTTTTGGCGCAACACATTCAATCCCAGATTTCTGAAGTGTGACTAGATCAATATGAGGAAACTGATTTCAAGTAAATCATGACATAATCATGCATTCATTATAAGATTCCTAGTTGGAATTATTTTCACTCAAGTATTTTTATGTTAATCCTATTTTTAATAGGATTATATTTTATCTCTTGATATTATTTCCTACATGTTTGGTCTAATTAATTTCTTTAGGTAGATATTGTTTTAAAAGATTGGCTATAGTGGAAAGTCATTAGGTTTCCTCACATCTTGCATTAGTTGGCGTCATCACATAGCATGTGAATGGAATTAGAATTTATATTGATAATTGGATAATTGTTTGGCTGCTGTTTTGGCGTCTCATTGAAGAGACCTTTTTGCATGATGTTTAGAAGTCTTAGTTGAATTGATTTTGTGAATCTTTGTTGCATAGGAAATGTAGTCACGTGGGTTTCTCTCAAGTGAGAGAAACCTTCATGGAATAAAACCATCATTGTTTCTTTTGATCAGTAGCTTTCAACGTATTGAATTTTCTTTGAATATATTGAATCTGTTTTGAGAAAGGTGTTGTGCTTATTTTCTTAGATAAGTGATCAAGTGTTCCTTGTTTACTTGGTGATTTATCAAATCCTTTCTTCATTCATATTGCATTCATATGCATGTTGATGACTCATACGGTTGAGGGCACCAAGACCATGGTGCGGTTTTCCTCCGGCGAGATTGAAGCAATCGTGACTAGTATTGCGTTCAACATAAGGAGTATTGGAGATCATCCCGTGATATAAGTTGAGTTACGAAGAAGTCGGTAAACATTATCTAGAATAGGTGTAGGATAAGTGTGTGAGTACTTCTTGTAATCATCGTTCTATAGTGGATTTGTGTTGGACTGAGGAGTCCTGTGAATTTTTCCCAAATGTGGGGTTTTACCACGTAAAATAATTCTCTGCGTGTTTTTTATTTTATGCCCAGAGCGTTTCAGGATTGATAAGCCATAGCAATCTTGCTACCGAAGTTTATTTTTATTTATTTGATTATAATCTTAAATTCATTCACCCTCCTTTAGGCATTTTTTAGTCATCCTACAAGTATTTTCAGCCTCCTTGTTCTACATGTTTCATGCCACATGCCAAAGCCATGGTGGAGTGATTGTGGATCATGTAGAAAACCAAGAACATAGAACTTGGAGCACAAGACTCCCTCCCCCCCCCCCCCCCCCCCCCCACCCCACAAACCTCTTTTACCCAATTTATTTATATGTTATAATGATATGTAATATTATAACACATTAAAATAAATAATATATTAGGTTTTTTGTCTACAAATTAAGCATAAAACTTCTTAATCACTCTTCTACTCTCCCTTAAATCTTTTAGGTTAAGTTATGATATTTGCACTAAAAACTCCTAATTTTTTTCTTCTTGTTTTTTTCTAACTCTCCTCTTTGTTTAACGTAAGCTTTGTGAATTTATGAAATTTTTTTGTATTTCTTCTCTATGTTGGAATATAAATTATTAACTTGAGTCTTTAATAGTGTAGATGATGAAATTAATATTCAATGCAATTATGATTGTAATGAATGGATTAATCAATATGAAATGATATTATGAAGTGGGCTAAACTGAGTAGTTATTATCGTACTAATTTATTAATAGGTTAGCACTTTAGTGCTCATATTCGAATTATTTATAATTAAAAAATTGTGAAGTGTGAAGGGCCCCCTCTTTTGTGAAATCCTGACTCCGTCACTACCCAAAGGAGGAAAAGAGGGCAATATTATTCTAAACTCTACTGCAGTCTTCTTGAACTCTTACAAACTTGAGCTTCAGCGTATTTTCTTGCAAGTACCCCTTCCTCCCTCATTGGTGGCAAGTGAAGACGGCGTCGTACTTCTCAACATTGATTACAAGACTACTTGTTGGAGGACCTGAAATTTTATGCTTCTACAATCTTATAACTGAAAAAAATATTGAAGTGATCTTTCTTTTGGTTGGAATGTTCCTTCACATATAGGATGCATATCCTAAAATTCTGACAAGAGTTGTTGTCTATATCAAGAGATGGTTTCGCTGATGCCTGTTTAACAAGCCAATTTCCTAGACTTGAAGCTTATCTCTAATAGCAGAGGCATATGCCTCTTGTTAGTCCAAAACTATGTCATGTCATCATTAGGATATATAGAATAAAGTTCTACGTCGACTAAAGGTCAAGTGATGAGTAGGAATCGAAATTTTGTAGCTCTATAACACAAACTTGTCTTAATTCATGAATAGGATAAGTAAGTTTGACTTAGAGACCATGTATGTATTCATAGGTTAGACGTATTATTTCCGCATCATTCTACTTGTAGTGATGAGCAAACTCCCTTAACTTGCTTAGAAATGTTGGGAGACCTCTAATTATTGGCACAAAGCCTAATTGTGTTGATTTTGAGTGAACTTTTAGTTGGCATGAAGCCGTAATTATTGGCACAAATCCTTTTCTGGTTTTTTTTCTTTGCACCAACCCTGATTTTTGGCACAAAGCCTTTTGAGTTTGAATATGATAAGAACTATTATAATAATCAGAGAGACTCTAATTTCTTGCTCAACTCTCTGTCTGCATAGATGGAATGAGTTTCCAGTGGGTTGTGTCAAGTGTAGTCATGAAGTTTTTGGCAATGCTGTCAATCTAGTTTGGAATGTTGGATTGTGGATGGATACGATGTTAAAAGCATCTGTGATTTTGCTGTTACACAGACGTAAAGGCTATCTTCACTGAAATTTTGCTTTAACATCAAACGTGAAGGCGAAAAAAGAAAAAAGAAAAAACATGAGTAGAGTGAAATCTGTCTGGTTTATTTTGATTTATCGAGCAAAGACCAAAGAAGCAATCCTGATCCACAACCGATCTAAAAGAAACATCATACGATTATATCCAATTTCAGAAGAAAGGGTCATTGAATGGCTCAACTGGAAAAATGACCACAACACACATGCTAAATACTGGTCAAAGTTGGGAGCCTAGAATACACATTTTTAGCAAAGTCATTTCTAAGAGTTCCCAAATCTTCGGTTCGTTTGTTTTTTTTTTTTTTTTTTTTTTTTTTTTTTTTTTTTGTTTGGTTGTATGGGTGCCCAAGGGTTCATTGGTAAATGATCCGACAAAAAAGGTGTGCAAAATTGTCCTAGACAACACTTGTTTAGGTATCATAATAAGTTCTCAAAACAAACCAATTTCATAGGAACAATTCAGGCACAGAACACCAAAGGCAGTGATTTACATTGAAACAACATAAATTATCCATGTTCTTGTTTCTCCCTGAGCCACCCACTTCAAGAGTAATATAACGATATGCTCGCCATCTGACACACTAGCAAGTCTACCAGGCATTCCTCCTAGTTGAAAGGCCACTCCCCAAACTTGGTCAGTGCCACCCACTTCAAGAGTAGTCATATAACGATATGCTCTTGTCATCTGACACACTAGCAAGTCTACCAGGCATTCCTCCTGGTCGAAATGCCACTCCCCAAACTTGGTCAGTGTGGTTGCTCATTGTCTGCACAGCTCCCCTCATGTTGATATCCCACAGCCTCACAGTTCTATCACTTGAGCCTGTTGCAAGAGCCGCCCCATCTGTGCTCACATCCACACTCAGAACCCAGCTCGCATGTCCTGACATGGCCCCAACCAATGTTTTCCCCTCAGCATCATACATGTGCACATGGGTGTCATCTGAGCCCGTGAAAAGTAACCGTGGCTCAACTGGAGAAAACACAAGAGACCTCACGGGCATGAAGTGGCCTTCCAGATGGTGCAGGAACTTGCCCCGATCTGCGTCAAAAACAGAAACTGTTCCATCCATCGAGCCACAAGCTATGCGCCTACCATCAGGACTCCAGGCAACTGATAGCACAAACTTCTTGCTGCTGCTTTTATCCGTGGGCTTGGTTCCTTCTGGGCGAGGAATTGACAATGTGGCAACCAGATTCCATGTGGTGGTGTCCCAAATTTTGACTGATGCACTTCCCCCACCCGCCACAGCTAGCATGGTACCCTGATCAAGTGCCAAAAGTCAGCATCAACTTGAATATAACCAAAGGGGTGGCTTCAAAACTTCAAATGGTTCTAGTTTGAAACACATATCAGTCAGAGATCAGATGTCCCCGAAGGGAAGTATCAGATACAAAATAAGAGTAATTCAACAGATTTTAGATACTGAGTATCAATGTTCACTTGAAGCATTCCATTTATTCAAATTTGGTCCACTTGAAACATCACTTTAACAATTAAGAACTAACATAATACAAACTCTTGGAATGTCTGATATTATTAGTAAGGCAACAAGGAAAATACAAGTTTCAGAAAGTGACATCTCAACCAGATCTGTAATTCAAATCCCATGGCTAGTTTTAGAAAAATTACTCAAGCCAAAAAGAAATCAAGCAAACTTGCATGCATAGATATATAAACAAGTAAAGCAACAAAACAGTAAATTAATTTAACAAGCTCAAAAAGGACCCAAAAATAAATATCCAAGAAAAATTTGAAAATTGCAAATGCACCTGAGGATTGAAGCGTAATTGCCAGACTTCAGAGGGTGGGGCTTCGAGACTAGCGATGGTGTTGTTGGAGTCGACATCGAAAACCCTAATGAAGCTGTCGAGTGAAGCCGAGGCGGCAATATGGCCAGAGGGGTGAGCTGCCACTGAAGCGACACCGAGGCAGTGGCCGGTCATTTTGCCCCGGTTGACTAGCTCGTCTGGCTGCCACAGCCTCACGGTCTCGTCCAGTGATCCGGTTAACAACAAAGCAGGTCGGGTCTCGGTTGACGGGACCCATGTCACCGCCCATACTGACTCCTCGTGCGCATCCTCAATTGATTTCAACCCTGCAAGCTTCATTGATAATTGGTTTGCTGAAACAACCTTAGTGTGCTTAATTCTTCAGTCCTCACTCCCCAATTTTCAGATCAGATTTTTATTTAGTTGTCACTGCATGCAAGCCCAATGATTAATCAGGGAGTCTGACAACACAATCATCAAATCTAGCATGCTGAGAAGTACATTGGAAAGCCAGCGACATTCTAGCATGCTGATGGAATTAGCTAGAGGCACTCTATTGAGTACAATGTAAGAAGTTATCCATATAATAAACCGTCTTGGACAGAAACAGTGCATGAATGATGAAAAACACAATTTGATTTACAAGAACATTCCATAGTCCATGATAGGAAGATTCATATTTGTCACAGATACACATTCAAGCACTTAAGATTGGCTAAAAAACAAGGTCCAAACAAGATTCTACATTTAAATATTGAACAATATCAAGCTGATGGTCTCAAATTTTTAATATGCTTTCCAGAGGATGATCTCTCTAGCTCAAGGTCATTCCTCAAACCCTCTGCCGAAGCATCTGCAATACCAACAAATATTGTCTCAGAGTTGGGAAGTAGCTAAACTATTAGACGCATCATGTTAATTTAGCTGGTTTTAGTTCTGAATAAGTGAAAATGGGGAGTAAAAAGTCCGGACTTGCCACACCCAAAGTACCGGTTTCACAAAATTAGAATTTTACTTGAGAACCAATTTATCCCAGAAATTTTTTGTTCATGGTCTGTGAGAAACCATTCATCTTTACTTGCTTACAGATCAAATAGAAAACAACAAGTGCAAAAGTTGGAAGCTTGCACTATAGTTTGCAATTTCTTGTGGCTAAACAAGCCATCCCTTATTACGGTTAAAATAATTCAGAAACCACCTTTCTCAGAGCATCCAAATCCATTCATAACAAATTATAGCATACTAAGCAATCATTAGCTTCAAAACAAAAAATTCGTAGGCAGCTATTATCTAATTAACAAAAATTCTAACTTCACAAACTAATTAAATTATATACCCAAATCAACAACAATTCCAACCACACAACTACTTATTAAATTATACACCCAACCCATATAATAACAGAAGCTTATTAAAAGAAAGAAGAGGGAAACCTTGAGCTGCGTAAGAAACCCCAACCAAATGAAACTGAGTGGCGACGGCGATGGAGCGACGAAGCTGGGTGCGGCGGCGGTCGGTGCGACGGCGCTGGTGAGTTCTTCTCTTCCTTCTTCCTTCTTCCTTCTTCTGTTTTGGTTGGCGCCTGATACCCAGAAGACCTAGCCTCTTGACATTGGCAGTCTTTGAAATTCTAAGTTTTTACTTTACATTTTAACCCCAAATATTTAATAACCTTCAAAATTACCCTCAAATTTTCCAAATATTTTCGTTTTTACCCCCTGACATTAGGCCTCATCATTTGGCCCACGGGCTCATGGGCCGATGGGGGCCCGCCCGGCCCATTGGAAAAAAGCCCGGCCCGGCCCATTGGAAAAAAGCCCGGCCCGGCCCGTTATGGGCTTTGAGATGGCCCGGCCCGCCTTGGGCCGGACTAGGCTTGGGCTTGGGTGTCTGAAGCCCGGCCCGGCCCATAGGCCCAGCCCGATTAAGCCCAAGAAAGCCCGGCCATTTAGGCCCGCATACATATATAATTATGTATAAATAAGAGTTTAGGATTAGGATTATATCACTTAAATCACATATATAATTTGTTTCATTTTATTTACTTTTCTTTACTCATTCCTAGTTTATAATTGGATGATTAGCACATTAATTTGTGTCAATTATTAATACAACAATTATATATATATATATAAATAAGATGAACAATATATCATATCACTAAATATAATCATATCACGAAGTATAATCGTACCACCAAATATAATCATGTTTTTCTTGAACACATCACCAAACATTTACATATTTATCTATACCATCCTTTAAAAAAAATATCTTTTTGATACTTATTATTTTTTTAAATTATTTCTTAAAACGTATTACGGTCTAATTATGTAATAACCTCAAAAATAATACTTTGTTTTATTATTTTTGTGGAAAATCTTATTAAGTTGTGTGACTTTATTGGGTATTTTATGAATTTGGTTTGATGTGAAAATATTGTAATTAAGTGAGTTTAATCTCAAATTTAGACTAAAATGCCCTTATGATTAAGTTTATGATTTTTTTCGAATGAAGTAGGCCCGTTTCGGCCCGGCCCGGCCCAATGGGCTTTCTCAAGCCCGACCCTGGGCTTTGAATTTTCTAAAAAAACCCGGCCCGGCCCGATATTTTCTCTCTCTTCTTTAAAGCCCGGCCCGGCCCGACCTAAGCCCGTCAAATTTAGGCCGGGCTAGCCCGGCCCGACCCATTGATGAGCCTTACCTGACGTATCGCGACCGTATCGTGACCGTATCGAAGACGTATCATAAAGTCAACAGATCATAAAAGTCTACAATACGCCACGTGGCATATCAAATACCCCAAAAAACCAGCGTGTTGGTGCAACAGAGTGGCTATACAACACAAAAGTTACATGGTAATATGATGAATAAATGCTTGGGCCAACAACACCTTACCTCTTGGGCATTCAAAATATTTTCATTCTTAACGATCTATGCGTAAAAATCTATGCGTATTGAAAAACCTTCTACAAATTCAAATCACCCCACAACTTAGTTGTGGCATGAATGTACCAGATCACGGTACATCCCATTTCAGCTCACACATCGTCAAATCAGAAATCTAAATACGCATACAACAGGCACAGTCATATCAAATAAATTAAAAGGACTAGCCCCTTAGCACATGCGTGGTTTTCTTTTTTCTTTTTCATTTTATTTTTAAAATTTTAAAAAAAATATTGGTAGTTGTGCTCTATAAAAGTATGAGCTATTATCTGATATTATTTTTAATTTTAATATAAAAAAATATAAATTTACCATATTATCCTCATTTAATTAATAATTTTAATTCTTAATGTTTGAATTAACCAATGACATTTTATAGTATTTTGAATGTTTCACCCTTCCTATTGAAATTGTTTACTAAACCATATGGATTGAGGGGAGTTAAATTCTGGATTTCTATTGAAGTTGTTTACTAAATCATATGGAATTGGGGTAGGAGTGACATTAATTACTAAAATGTCCCCATTGTTTGGTTAAAGTAGATAACAAATTTGGAATTTTTAAAATTGTGTGAGGATATAATGAGTAAAAAAGATGAATTTCTAATGGGTTAGTTCTCTAAGAATTAGAATATTACCTCCCACCTAAGAATTGAATTCCTAATGTGTGGCTCTCCCCCTTCCCCCTCATTAGCACCTAGGATCGAACCCCAAAGGCCCAGTTTGGTTCAAGGAAAATATTTGATGGGAAATTATTTCCCATGTCATTTCCCAATGGATGAGAAATGGAAGATTCATTTCCCATATTTGGTAATGTTGGGAAAGTAACCCGAAAATATCACTTTATTTCCTTTCTCATCTTTGGTTTGTGTAGGAATGTTAAAAAAAGTTTGTTTAATTTTCCAATTATACCATATGAAATCAAATAATAAAAGAATGCATTAATGCTATATTATAATTCTAAATTATTAATGGGGACAGAATGGTCATGAAAATTGTGCAAGGATACATTCGCTTCCCCATCCATCCAACTTACCAAACATGGGAAAGCAATTGATTTCTTGTCCCCAAGCCTCCTTTCCCATGAACCAAATATAGCCCAAGGGTTTTTCCTCCCAATGTAGGTTTTTTTTTCTTCCTATTTCCTTACTCTACATAACCTCTCCACTTTTCTTACTGTTTTTCTCTTCTTTTCCTTTATTTTTTTTCAACTATTTTTGCCACCATCTACTTCAATTCTCATCTTTAATTTGTAAATATCCTAACGGAGTTGGGTTTCGATTCAGACATCATCATCGCTTGCTTGCCGTTCTTTTCCTACCTGTGGCGCCGCTTGGGGTGGTCGGACAGTGATGTATCGTCACTTGGAAGTTGAAGAGGCACTATGCACAGATACTAAGAGAAGGAGAGGTTGCAAGAGAGAGAAACTGAGGTTCCCCCGCATTGGGCCAGTTGTTGTGCATTTTTTAAAATTTACGGTTGTACCAGTGTACTTTCATTAACCCTAACTTTCTCATTTTAATTTCAATTTACGCGTAGTATGTATATGAACTCATAAGAACAAGCTCTACACAATGGAGCGAAGAAAATTTTCAATACCAGTATGTGTACCGATTTCCTTTGCTGTTAAGAGAGCCCTTCTCAGACATCAGAGTGTGTGATATCTTGCCATAACAAAGATGTAAGAGCTCAAACAAATTGTGATACCATTGGCTCATTCTATTAGTTTCAGGCAATTGAACAATACAAGGAAACTTTGCTCAGGAATGATTGTCACACCCCAATCCACGGATTTGCATAATTTTGGATTAGGACGTGATTCATACCTTAATTATAGAATTTAATAAAACTATAACTAAAATGTGAAGAACATTAAAGTAAATAAATAAATATTTCACATAGAATTTTCGGCAGAAACAACAACATTTGAAATTTTATATCTTTTACATTATTTAACAAGTTAGAACTACTTAAGAGTTCGCTTAAAAATTATTGCCAGTTGCCCGAAATGAGAAGCAAAAATACTCTGATAAAGACGTACCTCAGTAATATCATCATGACTCTCGAAGTCATGTGCGGTAGTAATCCCAAACCAAATACGACGAGTAGTGGGGTCCTAAGGTAAGCCTTGGCTAAACCTTGGAAATCTTAATGCCATAATGCCTTTCAAATCCTCCTAGCCATTATCCTACTGCAATAATTCAGAACCGTACATGAGATTTTCATCTCATATGGCTCCTCCTTTATGTGCATAATGTTAATAATATGTGGAATCAAAAAGACGAAATATTCTCATTATAAACTAAGCGGGGCTGGTGTTTTTACAAGAAATCTCTAGCCAACCTTCTTGTAGAAGATCTTTCCTTAACATCAAGCATGTTGGTATTAGATAAAAAAAAGTTACTCCAATAGTTCATTAATCAACCATAAGCTATGTACATGAAACACACTATAGATATGCCAACTTCATCTCAAATTCTAGAGTTCAGGTTCAGTACCTACAAAACCTATTAGGGGGTGAGCGAACTATAGCTGAGTAGGGACATAAACCTTTTTTTACAAGAAATTGATATAACTAAATTAAGTGACAAGCAATCAATAACCAAATATCACACTAATAATATTAATGCATGAATGAGCTTCAATTCTACTCCCGTTAATTCATATAAATGGACAAGCAAACATGCACGTCCCATACCATGCTTATACTGCTTGAACTCTAAACCATTAGGGTCAAAACCATCAATTTCTTTTAAATTTCGAAAATAAATTTGAAAATTTGGGACGGGATGTTATATAAAAAGTTCCTGAAAATTATGAGACTCAAACAAACAAAGAAGCAGGACCATCACTCCACATACTCCCAGGCAACATGAAGAGACCCATAGCACCATACCGACTAAATCCAAACTCGCCACAACCCAATCTTCCTTATGTACGTGGGCCAAAAGACGATAATTATTTCATGACGACGATAGCTGCTTCCACCTCACAAAATAAAATAGCAAAGAAGAATCATGAGGGAAAAAAGAAGAAGGGGTTGGGGAAGGGAATGAGAATTGAGGGGAATTGGGTAGTTGGGTAGTTTGATGCATGCCATACAGTGAGTGGTACATGCAACTCCCCTTCATTTATTGGATATATAGTGAAAGCACAAGATCATGGGCCTTCTTAAAATAGTCATCATGACTAGATTTTATTGAACTAGGTTACCAAATTTAAGTACAAAACTTTCATGAGCACAAATATCGCCAATTGAGGTAAGTCATGGAATTTGAATACAAATGCCAAACACAATTTGACTTTGAATTTAATAAGTATTGGTTGTGCCAAATTATTGGAGTCAATTTTATACTCTTCCTATTTCTTTTCTCTCTTTTATTTAAAGAAAAAACGGCAATAATTTTTTAAAGAAGAGAAATAACAAGTACAAACAACCAAACCTACTAGTTACAATCCTCAAACAAGTTATCAATAATAATATGGCGGTTCCTCAAACGAAGTTAGAATAGTCTCAATATGCTTGGCAAAATAATGAGTTGATCAACTACTTGATTTGCAGTGCGGCGGATATGGTAAAACCATCCCCAGTGATCTTTACATCTTGTTATTGGTATCTTTCACTAATGGACCAATAAAAGATATGTTTGTAGAACAATTCCTCAGAGCTTAGATGATCTGGAGAGAATCGCTCTCAAAAGTAACATTTATGAAACCCCTTTCTTCAGTGAATACTACACCCTCTCTAGCAACCAGAGCTTCAACTTGAAGGGTAGAAAAGACATTGTCCACATGCAGGGACCTTCCTGCCACAAAAATAGCATTAGATTCTTGCACAACAATTCCCACACCACCCATTGTACTCTCTGTTGTCCAAGCTCCATATGTTGGCGAGTCCTTACTTAGTTAGGATTTTGATTCCTTACTATGTTAGGATTTTGATTACTTACCCATTTATCTAGTCCTATTATAATTGAGATTTATTTCCTATTGTAATTTATATTTATTTTCTATATTGTAATTTGAATTTATTTTCAATCTATTTAGGGTTGTACTTATTTATAAATACCTCCATATTTGAGATGAATAAAGATATGTGCGTAATTGAATATTTTCCATACTTTATTTGACATGGTATAAGAGCCTAGGTTTCTTGTGACCTGTGCTTGCATTCTCCTTGCAAAGGGGGGAAGGGGCGGCGGAAGGAGTGAAAAATATATGTTTATTGACGTATCTCCATTACCTTGACATATTCCCATGAAGATGTTGCTTATTTCTTGACAACGATGATCCCTTCTCTTTAGGGGGAGAGGGAGAGTGAAGAGAAGTTGTGTCTGCCTGAATTAGCTAAGGTTGATATGGAAGAACTACTATCATTGTTATTGTCATTGTCGTTGTTGCCACTGTTGATGTTGTCTTTGCTTGTTTCGCTTTCCGTTGATGTGGTCCTTACCGTTGCTGCTGATGTGGTCGTGCCCTTTGCCTTTGCTTTGCCTTTATTTGCCCTTGCTTTGCCTTTGACATTGCTTTGTCTTTGCCTTGCCTTGATTTGCCTAGCTTTGCCTTTGCCCTGCCTTACCCTATTTTTTGGGGTTTGGTTTTGCCTTTGTCGTGCCTTGATTTGCTTTGCCTTGCCTTTGCCTTTGCCTTACCCAATTTTTAGAGTTTGGTTTTGCCTTGCCTTTGACATGTTCACAGAGTTTCTGTGTTCTGCTGTGCTCACAGGGTTTCTGTGTTTTTCCTTATCTACTATCATACTCACAGGGTTTCCAGGTTCTACCTTATCTACTACTGTGCTCATAGGGTTTTTGTGTTCTGCTGTATACACAGGGTTTCTGTGTTCTGTCTTATCTACTGTCGTGCTCATAGAGTTTCTGTGTTTTCCTTATCTACTGACATGCTCACAGAGTTTTTGTGTTATGCTTTTATGTGTTCTTCTATGTGCCCTATTTGTTAGGGGTTTGTCAGTTGTTTCACTCGTGGTTTATGACAAGGCATTCTCTACAATTGTTCTATTGGTCAATGTCGAGTATGGTGTTCTATGACTCGCTTGTCAAGTTGGGCATACAAAATATCTTTGCCCCAACTTGAAGGGGAATGTTGGCGAGTCCTTACTTAGTTAGGATTTTGATTCCTTACTATGCTAGGATTTTGATTACTTACCCATTTATCTAGTCCTATTATAACTGAGATTTATTTTTCGTTGTAATTTAGATTCATTTCCTATTTTATTTAGGGTTGTACTTATTTATAAATACATCCATATTGGAGAAGAATAAATATATGAGCATAATTGAATATTTGCCCTACTTTGTTTGACTCCATCCATATTAATTTTCTAACTGCCAGCCGATAGCTTCATCCAATTTTGGACTTCTTTGTTATTGTGAACATCAACACCTTGTTTGGCATGAACCTTTGCATACTCCAGTAGCCTTGTGGTAGCACAATGCTAATGATATCCGGTTGTGGGTCCTTATTTTGCAAAAGCTTCTCATTCCTAGGTTCCCAAATATACTAGTTGTTCACCCATTTCGATTTAATCCTGTGATGATATGGTAAAGTTCCTCATTGACATGAAGATCATTGATGGTCAACAAATCAACTTTCTTTGGTGTGCGAGCGTGCTGCTGTTAACAGTTAAAAAACCCTAACAGACTTATGAAACTGAGATAACTTATGCTCCAAGTTACTGACTTTAACAAATGATTGTGAATTTGAGTGAGGAATATCTCATAAGTAAGTTCTTTTTTTGCCTCAGACTGATGAGGACTTTAAAATTTATCATAGTAAATTGGTAGTTCTAGCCAGAATGGTTATTGAAAGATAAATCAAACTGTTTTTTTATGAAAAACTGTCCACAACTTTTAAGACAAAAGGGGACTGCTATGTCTAAAAGGAGAACAGAGCTTTGGGCTTCGATTTCTGCCTGGATTGTTTCCTATGACTCAGGCTGGACTGGGTGTAACTATGTTGGGGTTCAAACGTCAGCACCTACTGATGAGGTTCAGTTGGAAATCGATACCAATGTTGGGATTTGTAGAGCTCTTAATTTTAGCCATGGGGAGGCTTGCAGGATGGACAGAATTGAGATTTCTTCAGTCTAGACGGGATTGCGTGTGGCTGGATTGATGATTATTGACTTGAAGTTGCACTACAGCACCTATTCTGAATGAATCATCCAAGAACTATTCTGGCGATTCTGAGAGCTCAAGACATCTCTGTAAATTTGTTTGAGGTTTTCATTTTTTGAAAAACCTGAATTCTGTTTGATTTGGCTTGTGCTAAACTAAATTTGTAATGAGAGAAATTTCGTTTTCTTTGTAAATGTTTTTTCTAAACTGAACTGAAACTAGAAACCTGAGTTCTAGTTGATCTGTCTTTCGTGAGTCAAAGGGGTTTGATTGCTTCGGAGTCTGAAGACTTTTTGGGATCAACTGATCTTGTTTTGAATTTGTCAGTGTGACTTTGAGAGTTTTTTTATTTTATTGAATTTTTTGGATGTCTTCAACCCTGTTCATCTCCTCTCATATTTATAGAGAAACTGAATGTGGCCTTTTTTTCTTTAATATCTAGGGCAGATCTTTTTTGAAAAAAGTTTTCCCTTTCTAATGCAGAGAATGGGGGAAGTTATTAACTTGGCAAAAAGAACCATCAACAGTCAGTTTCTGTGATAGTCTATTTGCTTTTTCTGAAAAACCTAACTCTCTTGTTCTCTGTTTGTTTCTTGCAAAGCATAACCTGTCATGATGGTCCGTTTGCTTTTTCTGGCGAACTACTCTCTTGCTCCCTGTTTATCTTTTGAAAACGTAACCTGCTATGATGCAGAGCCTTTTTTGCATATAGAAAGGGAACCTGGTCTTCTTTTCCTGTCTTTTTAAATAGAGAGTGTTTTATGGTTAACCTGTTTTTATTAACTCCCCATCACTTCCTCTGCCTTAGTTGAAAATTTTGACTTTCCAAAGTCAGAAAGTCACGTGGGTTCTTTTTTAGAAAAGATCTTTCCAAAAAATCTGCTGACTTGCAATCTGGGATTGAGATCAATGGTGATGAAAGTGAAGCTGGGCCTAATCTTGATTTTAATTTAGAAGCTTTGATTTGTTAGATTAAGTTGCCATTTAATGGCAATTAATCTTTGATTGTGGTTTTGATCCTTTGCTAATCCTTTGCTAATCGTTTCACCAAGATCTAGGCCTTTAAAACCACTTGGGCTATCTAATTTCAAATAAAGCTCAAACTTCTGTTTTCTGATATGGACCAGTGTCAATTGGGCTGGGGAGTGGAATTTAGGCCCAAACACTAGCCAGTGAAAAAAAAATGTCAAAATCTGAGGCACAAGTTGAGAGCTAGTCCAAAGCATCAAGATTATGATTGGTAGGCCCAGAAATTTCCAAGGGAAAGCATGCCTACACTCCATGCACAAAATATAGTCCCTCACAATTGCAGAGGAACGACGTTCGGGGCTTGCAGAGGCTACTATTGAGGGTCAAAGTTCTAAGCCTATAGTAACCGAGGTGGATGTATGAGATTCAAAATGTAATGAAGTGGTTTGTGGTGGACTTGTTGTTTTTGTCCTGTTGTCATTGAATGTCTAATTGGTTGGGCTTATAACATCTAAAGAGGATGATTATAATCACGAGTTCTGAAAAATTTCATAGTTGAATTTTGAATAAGGGAGGAAGTATGCTCATGTTTGTTGAAGCTGAGTGTGGCTGAATTTCGACACGAAATTCTTTTTAAGGAGGGTAGAATGTAATAACTTCAAAATTCTGAAAAATCATATAAGGTTAATAAAATGTGTGAACAATTTTGAAGTTGGTTTGATGTGCAAATGATGGATTTAAGAGTGTAATCTCAATTTGGACTAGAACACCTCTTTGTTAAAGTTTATGATTTTTCAAAGGACGTACAAGAAATTCAATTGAGAAATTTGTGATTCTTAGATAGTATGTTAGAGCTCGATCTCACGAACGTGTAAGGGCAAAGGGTTTGTGAATCAGAATTAAAACGAGGGTGGAATTCGAGTTTGAATTGAGGAATTTAGTTGAAGAGGTAAATTGTGAACAGTGGCAAAAATCAGATTTCTATAAATAAGGGGTCATTGTGCAAATGTCAGAAAATCCGTAATGTTTAGAAATTGTATTTTAAAAAGTGATTGCCGGCGCCATTTGTGTCGAATTCACGAGAAGCTGATCTACACCACCCTCCCCAATCGAAAGCCTGACACCTCTTGTTGTTGTCAGATTCAACTGCGCCAAAATTGATTCAGTTGCATCCTCAATTTGTGATACTCGCAAGTGCACGAGTGTTCGGTAGTATAGCATATATAAGTGAGAGGTCAATCCCACGAGGATTGATGATAGATTGATTTAATTTGATTCCCTATACAAAACAGAAATGGAAACAAAGTTTAAAGATTGCGAAGAGTACACTAGGAATCTATCCAATTCTAAGTCTCAAGCAATCAAGTTAACAAGCTCAATTCAAATTCTCATATTGATTCTAGCTAAAGCATGATTAATCCATGGTGTCTGTTCTTAACTTTGTATTCATAATTCCCTAATTAGATCCTTGTTGTCAAACCTAAATTAAACACTAGAAATCCATTAAGCATAAAAGAATGTTTTAAACAACCAAGCATGTATCTAATTCCTGATGTCGAATGTCCATACATACTCTTCCTATTCATAGTTCAATTTCAATTAAAGCATGATGTCTACTCTCAATCATTCAAACAAGCATATTAACTTATAAGCATAATCAATAAGAACAAGAACCGTAATTGAAACTTGGAAACTAATCAAACTTGAAAACTTAAAATAAGAAATTACATTACAATAAAAAAATAAAGTACAACTAAGAAAAACATAAAGGAAAATTTAGCCAAAAGGTTTTGTTACAACAATTGAGAATTTAAAAGAAAAACTAAGAGAATTTGAGGGAGAGAAGGGAGAGGAGCTCTAGAGAGATGTTTGAGAGCTCCCCCCCTTGGGGTGTGTTTGTAAGCTTAGGGAACCTCACAATTTATAGGCATAAGGGAATTAAAAATCTAAATTGGAAATTGCTTCTACCTACAGCACCCACTTCACCAACTTTACCTAACTTCCCCACTAAAAACAATTAGCTCATGCATATGTCATGTATGACAATGCACTTCAATAAGCTTGTGGGCTTATTTTGGGTTTGTTCCTCCATTTTGAAAAATCTTGAAAAATATAGATCTTGAAGCTCTTTGGCCATCTTTCCAACCATATGTAGCTCAGCTCAAGTAAAAATTGGAAAGGCTTGCAAATATCATTTTTGGCACAGTAACGCAGACGCTGCCGAATTTCACCTTAAGTTGCCAAAACTTGTATACCTTCCTCTAGAAGACTTGGAATCGTGAACCGTAAAATGCTCCAGAAACTAGACTTCCACATCTTTCCAATAATGTATGACTCATTAGCTGGTTCTTTCTGAGTACGTACAGTTAAATCTGTGAAGTTGACTGATCTGCAGACACAGTTTTGAGCTAACTTGACTTCAAAATGCATTAATACTGAAACAAACACAAAAGAGATTAAAAATACAAGTTTAACTAAAAAAACATAACAAAATCAAAAGCTAAAAGAGTAAAAAATGATATGTAATTATGCACCGATCACTTCTGCCCCGATGGTACAATAACATGAGAATAGCGTTTTAAGCTAGGATAGTACTGTACGGACAAATTTAACGTCTTGAAAACAAAATAGACAAAAAATGCAAATTTGTATGAACTATAACAAAGTTGGGCAATATATATATATTTTTTTTGCGAGCAAATTAATTTGGGCAATATTTCAGCTTGCATTATCTGCAAAAGAATCTTTTGTGTCATGAGTTGATTGGTTTTAGATATGACACCAATAACTAGGGAGCTTTTTTTAAGCTCACGAAATACTTTATTATTGTTGTAAATGAAAGTAGTCAGGGCTTGGAAGTTGGGAAGCTAGTTAGACCGTGGTGCGGGATCAAATGTGTCGTTTTGTGGCGGCCCATGCGATTCACAATGATAATGTTTTCTCCGCTCTTCATTGAGGCAATTGTAGCCAGATTGGGGGCAGCTGTGGCAATGGAAAGGGATATTTGTAACATTATTTTTTAGAGTGATTCTCTCCAGATCGTCTTAGCGCTTCGAGGTTTTTCTACTGATAGATCCATGATAGGTCTTTTCGTGGAAGACACGAAGGCCACACTGAGTCAGATCATTGAGGATGGCTTTACCCATATTTGTTGTATTGCAAACGAGGTGGCTTATCGAATTGCATGTTTTGCTTTTCACATTGGGACTACTCTTACTTGGTTTAAGGAACCACTAGATTTCCTTGTCGATGTATTGTTTTAGGATTGTAACAAGTAGGTTTAGACGGTTATGTGTCTAGGGGAACGAGAGGCTTTCTATCAGGGACAAGGTTCCCTCTCCTGCTTGCTATTAAAAGGATGGACTAATCCTCTATAGAATAGCCCTGTTTTTTGTGCCCTTTATTAAAAAAAAACAACAAAAATAGTATCCACGAATGAGTATGATTCAAGTGTAACAAGCCTGCATGAAATTTTACATTCGAACATATCCTCGAGTTGAATTGGTAAAATTGCAAAACAACATTTATCAAATAAAAAAAACAATAAAATAAAATATTGTTATTAGGAGCCAAAAGGGGCAATTATTTTGAGTTCTAGTACAAGGATGCTTGATTGTTAGCACTTAAGAGCACATCAAGCATAGTTACAAGCTTATGCGCTTGTTTATTTTTATAGGAAACTATTATTGGCATTCTAAAAAGTCATCACGCGCTCATACTTTTAGAGTGTCAATAACAGCTCTCTTGTTTACATTACAATTAGAATATGACTAATCTAATTGAGTTTTATGTAGTTATTCTCGATCATCCACCTAAGACCCCAGTGATCGTATTTACACTTGTAAGCCCAATATGCCCATCCAAAAGTGGCACGCCCATAAACATCTATCTGGGCTTTTGCAAATCTCTGGTAGTCTTCTATTGACGCTCCATTTATCGCCCATTCTGCAACCCATTCTCCTGTACAATATATTCTCATCAAAACCTCCAATAACATGTTTTAATTTGAATGATATGGAAATCAAAATGAATACAAATTGCTCAAGATTAATGCTAGTGAGAAAATGTTCATGATGAGGCCTACATGTTACTAGAGGCATTATACAAGGAGATCTTATCCCCTTTTTTGTTTTTTTATACGTCAAACCTTTTATCCGTGGTTTGAATACTTTGTCTATTGACTATAAATCTAAAATACGTATTTTTATTTCCCATAACGGTGTAAGGATTTATGCTCAGGTTATTGATAAAGGTGCTACAACAATTAACAAATATTTAATAGTTTTGCAACATACTTTTTGTAAGAAGGTAAGAGGGGAAGGTAGCTAGTATTCATTCAACAATGAAATAAAAATAGGGATATCTGTTGAAATGTCACCTGAACTTATACTTTAGTTTCAATTTGTCACCTGAACTTATACCTTAATTTCAATTTGTCACCTGAAAAAATAATTTAAGTGAAATGTCACTTGAATTTTTCAAAATCCATGATTTGTCACCTGAGTTTAACATCATCTGATTTTCCATCTATTTTCAAGGGTATTTTAGTCTTTTCATTTTCAAGGATATTTTAAAAATGGAAAAAATTATTATTAAAAAAATAAAGCTTAAATGTAAAAATGGCTGGGGATTAAATGTGAAAAGATATATAATTTTTATAATTTTCAAGGGTCTTTTCATAATTTTCTTATAATGATTTTTCCATTTTTAAAATACTCTTGAAAATAAAAAGACTAAAATACCCTTGAAAATAGTTGGAAAATTGGATGATGTTAAAGTGAGGTGAAAAATCATGGATTTTGAAAAATTCAGGTGACATTTCACTTAATTTTTTTTTCAGGTGACAAATTGAAACTAAGGTATAAGTTCATGTGACATTTCAATGAATATCCCAATAAAAATAACGCCAGTGATGCCCAAGATTTCTTATTTAATAGTGAGTAGTGACTTACCAACAAAAGTGAGGGGCCCATTGGAAGTGGTCACAGCATCGAGATCAGAAGCTCGTTGGTTGTAGATGAAATCCACATTTTGTTGCACACTGAAGCTGTTGAACATGTCCGAGTACAGGCTATAGAAATGCACGTCTATGGCTACGCGATCGAGGCCTCCGGCAAATGAGAGAAGCTCCTTTGCATCTGCAGGTCCCAATCTGTTTGATAAGATCACATAAGCGCTTGAAGTGTGCTTCCGTACAGCTTCATAACCAGCTTTGTAATAATTTTTGAGGCTGTCTAGATTGACGCCAGGTGCCATAGGCTCATTCATTAACTCAACTGCCGCAAGAGCTGGATGATTAGCATATCTGCTCAGAAAAAAGTGTCAGATTAGTTGTTAAGTTGGTATCAGTTCTATGCAATTCTATAAGCCTTGTAGTGTGGGCTTGTAATAAAGCAGGGAATTAAATTGATTGTTGTGTGATGGAGACTAAGCTCACCCTAAGCCCTTGGGCTAGTAGGGCACCCCGCCCGCTATTGGTTAGCAAAATAAGTAAATTCCATAAACATAAGTGGGTGAGGTTAATCTTATATTTGTTTAGTAAAGAATTGAATGTTTGTTAAGTTTTAAACCTTGATGCTAAGAAATCTATGACTGCCACAGTGTCTTGTATGTTGGAATCTCCCCATTCCTGGTAGCCATCTCTTGTTGCACTGTGGTCATTGCCGTTTTGGGACCCTTCAACTGCATGAAGATCTACAATTACCTTCAGCCCATTGTTTCTGCATACATGTTGTGTTCAGAGAGAGTGAAACACCAACAATACCAATTTGAAGTAATTTTTCTCTCTCTGTTTTATGTGTAACATAACTTTATAACTAGTTGCAACTACTCTTACTGTGCCCATGTGAAAGCATTGTCCAGGGCTTGCAAGGAGCCTCCAACAAAAGGCTTAGGTGGTGTTGGATCTTTTGCAATCCACCATCCAACTGGGATCCTCACCGCATTCAAGCCGTTCGATGATAAGAACCTGAAATCGTCTTCGGTGATGTAACTGTTCCAGTGATCCTGTTAAGCATAAATTCAATTTGATTACTTCTGATTTGCTGCATGAAAACAATATTGTTTTGTTTTTTCTTGTTGAAAATCATATGAATCTTACCTGCAGGACTTGAGGAGCCTTATCTGGACCATAGCCATTTGTGATTTGGTATTCACCTCTTAAGGTCTTGTCACTTAATATTGTCATTATGAAGACAGATGGATTATCATCTTCCCAACCTGAGCCTCCATAATCTGCAGTCAATTGTGTCTCTGATGTTGCCTAATTACAACGAAAAGTATGATTTTCATGAGATTGACTAGTTGGTCACTTTTCCTTTTCATATGTATATATGTGACAAATAAATTGAACTTCGGTGCTCAATGCTACCAGAGGAAACAATCACCTGTAGAAATAAACCATTGGATGCTTGAATGCGAACTCGATTTCGATCACCATCATTCCTTACAATCCGAAATGTTTCGGTGTTTCCAGGTGAATCTGAAACTGCAATTAGGCCGGTTCCCTGGTCTTGGTTTGACAATCCCACAAACTGCTTGTTGAACACTCTAAAATTGAAAGACGATTCATCAATCCTCCACAACTGCATTACACACGAAAAAAACCTATGGAGTTAAATTTACTTATTTAGTTTTTGGTAAATAATGTTCAATTTTTATCTGGCTTTTGGTAGTGCTGCATTAATGTTGGCTTGAAGAGCATACCCTGAAAGTTTCCCAACCAGAGGCCGAATCGCGGTTGACAACAACAACGGAACCACTGCCACCCCCCATTTTCTGGTGCAATATACTTCTGCAGCTTTGTGGACTTGAATTGAACTTGTGTTCCATCCTGCAAATGATTTCAAAATAAAAAACTTTGAACTATATTTTTTCGGTAGGGAATAGTTCAGATTATTTGTGGTTTTAGTACAGAAAAGCAAAACTGTAAAACGAAATCACACCCAAAAAAGAAAAGAAAAAAAAGATATGCTTATTTGTGATGAATGCAGTAGCTCTAAGCAAAATAAAACTATACCAAAAGGTCATTGTTGGGAATGCCATCATAGAGAGAAGGTTTCATCCAACCCTCTGTAACAAGCCAATTCCCAAGATTCACAGCTTTGAATGGCAAATTGAAGTCTTGTGCTAAGGAAAGAGGAACAACACATGAGATCAGGTACAAAGCCAGAAGATGGTACATCTTAAAGTAATAATATGCCATCTTTCAATTTTTCAATCTTTCAATGAGAAATGAATGAAAAGGGCCTCAGGTACAGTACACATTATATAGAAACAACAATTTGACAAAAGTCAAAATTTTACAGTGAACCATTCCTTACGTTGAATGATTATATGAATTCACACTTCATTGTCTTGACTGAGAAATTAGCATTGCTTCAAGTTCAACACGTTAAGGAGGAACGATACATGGCATTAGTGGGCTGCCGACCAGAAGTGGGAAGACTTACTGTCCTGCTTTAATTCCAATTAGTAATGATATTTTGGAATTTTGAAATGTGTGTTTCTCATGCACACTATCAAGGTGTCAAGAGGTTCGAATATGAGACCACTGATCTGCAAGTCAATGTCCTTTTCCATTGAGCTAGACCCTGTTGACTATGTAGGTATGTAATTATAAGAAGCAGTTATTGGCACTTCAAAATATTCATGCTGTACCACACGGAATTTTGAAGTGAAACTTTCATAGATATTAAGCATGAATGTATTGAACAAATAAAATTCAAAATATACTAAGTATAAGATATGCATATGATGAAATATACGTGTATATAATGTGCGATGAAAATCCTGAAAATAAATACAATTAGACTTAACACAACAAAGACAACATTATTCAAACATAACCCAACCCAACTGATTAATACATAACCCAACATTATATTACAAGAGTTAGACTTAATGATAAAAATGAGAGATAGAAGAGATTAGGTGAAAAATAAAATCAAACACACAAAAAAACTGAGCAACCAGAGAGAGGAGAGGAAGAGCCAAAGATAGCTGAAATGACTAAGGAGAGAAGAATGAGAAGCTACTAAGTATTAGAGCTTCATTTTTTACATTGATTCAGTGTCTGGGACCTATGATTACTTTCAAAATTGAAGACAAATTTCTAAGTTATTTGTCTGGTATCGGAAAATATTGGTAAATATCGAGGATATCGAGGGTTATCGAGGATATATTGCCGATAAGGGGGCAGAAATAGGCTTACCCCTTGTATCTGTATCGACACCTAAAAAAAAGGGATATATCGGGGTATCGGCCGATATTTTCATCCTTGGTAATAATGCATCATACTATTTGGAGTACTAATATGTTAACAAGGCTTTAAGAGGGCTGACAATGGGTCGTGTCGTGTCAGGATCATATACGAGTAACGAATGCTTAACCCAAATTCGACTCTTTTAATAAACGTGTCATGTCCGGCAGTGGCAGATCTACAGAGGTGCAAGAAGGTGCAGTTGCACCTCCCATCACCAAAAAACGCTATAGTGGTGGATGGGTTTGCCCGTTTGATATGTGTTGAAGGTGCCCACCACTTGTTTGAGAGAATGCCTCAGTAACGTCTTATATCTGGCTGCTGCATTGTTGCGCTTCACACTTTAAAAAAAAAATATCCCGGTCAAAATGACATCGTTTTAGACCATGCCTAAGAAAAACAAAAAAGAAGCCATAGTCTTTACTCCACGCCACACCACATAACCTGCAATCAAAAGCAAATTAATCTATATATGAATACAATAGCATTCCAAGTTCAGCCGCGGAGAGGATTTAATCCTTGAGTTGAATTGCTTCTTTTTTTATTTTTATTTTAAAAAAAAAAATCTTTTCTTATGGTTTTGTTTTCTTCTAGGTTTATTTTATTTATTTTTAAATCTTCACTTTTTCTGTTTTGTTCTTTTTTATAATTTTTTTTAAAAAAATCTGATTTGGCTCTCTATATATTCATTTAATCAATAGCAAACTCGAAGAGGCTGCACAACGCACAATTTGAGGTATGCATTTTGATTTGTTTATTGAATTGATACTTTGATATGCATTTCGATTAAATTAAGTGATATTGATTTTCATAAAATTAATTAATTATTTAATATGAATTTTAGTAGATTAATAATGTAAGACCTCATACCCTTATTTATTTCAATTATACAATTATGGAACGGTATTGTTTTTGGTGAAGAAATGGGGTCTAACACCCAACAAAGAAACTAAGCAATGAAACGGTACTTTAAGAGAAAGTATCTAAATCTTCATTTGAATAATTTTGGTAGTTCAAATCCTCCTTCAAATAATTTAGGTAGCCTTTTAAAATTGCTCATCTCTTGAAAAAATCATGGATTTGCCACTGATGTTGGGTTGAACAGTTAATTTCATGTGCGGGTTTCGAGGCGTGTAACAGGTCATATCGAAAATTACCACCCCTTTCTTCATTGAATGTTTGAATGTTGTCTAGCTTTTTCCCAAAAGATAACTTAGGGAAGAATTCAGTAGATTCGCAAAGACTAAGAGCTTGGTGGATGCAAGATCTCAATAGGAAGGGGGACTATGGCACCATATTTAACAAATAAAAAGGAAAAAAGAACCAATGTCATGCAGCAGGAGTGCTGGGTAAAATAGAATTCTCCATAGCGATAATTAGGGCGAATATATGAATGGGCTCCATTACCTATAGTAACCTTCTTTTCCTTTTTCTTTTGTTCAAAACAACCGTTTTGCTTTTTCATCCATGATATCCAAAACTCGTTATAGCCGTCCTCTAATTAGGTCACATGTACTAAACTCAACTAATTTTCTGTTAAATGATCACATCCCACGCACCTGACCATCATTTTGAATTTTGAGAGTGAATGTGACTTTTTCCGAACCAAATTTTAGAAAAACTGATTATTCCCAAATGGATGTAGAGATATCATCATCAATCTTTCTTTCTATTCTTTTTGGCCTGAACGGGTTGACTTTTCCATTCTTTTTGTCTTTTCCATGGCTGCTTGCTTGACTTCTTTTATACAATCGCTCCTGTCCGTGACAATTTTAACTGAAGCTATGGCTTGCTTTGCGCGCGCTATATCCTCTCACACAAGAAAACACTGTATAATTAACCAACATACGTTACCTCTGTTAAACTCTGCAACTCATGTGCGAGAGAAGAATCTACTAGCCGATGATATCGACAAGACGCGGTAACTGGTTGCGGTAAAAAAGCGGTTCTTTCACTGATTCACGCAGTTATCGACAATTTACCCTTTGTTTGTCTGAGAAAGAAGAGCAAAAGCAATCAGTGGGTGGGTCAGCTCTCTCTCTCGTGTGCAATCTGTGAAATGTTGACAGCACATTCTAAGATTACCGTTTAAAGAGGAGCCTACGGACCTAAATGCAACATGTGGTTACTGCTCATTCTGATATTCAATAAATCATAGGCTCTACTCCTGTGGATATTCAAATGTCTTTATCTGTGTGTGTTTGTTGAGATGACTGCCTAATTGAATTTGTTAGCTAGGTATAGAGGAGTGAAGAATGTTCATATGGGCCCTTGATCACCCAAAAAAAAAACATGAAATGGAAAAGGAAATGTTCTTTTGGGAGTTCAAAACTAGCTAGGTTTGCACTAGTGATCTTACATGTGTTGATGCATGATGAATGAATACATTTAAGAAACTAATTAGTAGAAGAAGCTAGGCAAAGATGCTGGCTTACAAGTCATCCATGAACTTTGCAAGTAGGGGATTGACTTGACTTGTGAAAGAAAATATGTGATTTTTGTGTGAAATAATTGAGATATGTGATGGATCATGATGGCTAAAGATGATTTTCAAGTGCCCTTAGTGATTATTTTCTTTTCATTTTTTTACCAAAAAATAGTGTGAGAATGGATTCATACTTGAGTGAGAAAGGTAAATCTTGGTCCAATTTGTAATTACAGTTCGTATCGGCCTAACAATGTCTATCAAATAAACATGTTCATATTACATATCATATTATTATATTATAATAGAAAAGTATTTCAAACTCACATCATATGATTCACAATGTGACATATAATAAAAGGGTTCAACAAATTTATTTCAAATTCGCATCATATGCTCAGCCTTTTCAAATGCATGTCGATCATCTAATGCCCAACTCCAACTTTTGATGAGAGTTTCAAATGCATGTCGATCATCTAATGCCCAACTCCAACTTTTGATGAGAGAGAGAGAGAGAGAGAGAGAGAGAGAGAGAGAGAGAGAGAGAGAGAAATTGGTTCAAAAGTTATTTTCCACAGTAAACTTTGTATATTTGATTAATTGTAAAAGTAATACAAGAGATGAATTTAAACAAGAGTAGAAAACCCAAGGAGGGACTTACATGGGAACAAATCAGATATACAAGGAAACCAAATTAATAATAATATAAACACAAAAACTGGATGGTGGAATCCTTGAATTGAGGAGAGGCATAACGGCTAAATGTTGATATCCACCCTAGCTTGTTTATTTTTTATGGGCAGGTCTTCTATTGTTTTCTGTGGTCAACGCATTGGGATTTCACTCTTCAAGTCAAGAATAGTACTGTAGCACAACCCCCACACTTTTGAACATATATAGTAGGGTTGGGCATTTGGACCCGAAACTCGGCCAACCTGCCCAAACCAAATCAATGGGTTGGATTGGTTTGGTTTTTTTTTCAATTTTTTTTTGTCATCGGTTTGAACCCAAACCAAACCGAAATATATGGTTCAGTGTATGATTTGCAATATTCAAAACCACGGTTTAATCAAATCAAACCGAAGATATTAAAAAATATTATATATAATATTATTATAAGAAATATATATATATAATACATAGCTTCAATCTTTTCTTTTTCTTCTCTCTCAATCTCTCTGTTTGTCTTGTCTTTATCAGTCCCTCTCTCTCTATTTTTATTTTCTCATTCTTCTTATATATGTCTTCACGCCTTCTCCCCATCTCCCTCTTCTTCTTTTTCATTCTTCTTCTTCTCTCTCCTTTCTTTTTCTCCTCTTCTTCTTCTTCTTCTTTTCCATCTCTCCCTCTCTGGTTTTTCTTCTTCTCCTCTCCATTGCTTTTATTTCCTCTCTCTCTCTCTAAGAAAGCCAAAAAACTGAAACCAAACCAAACCCAACCACCAAGTCCGATTAACCGAAGTGGTAGATTTTCATCAATATGGTTTGGTTTTGGTTTTTAAAATAGCCAAACCGAAGCCTACGGTTTGGTGTCGGGTTGAGCCCAAAACCGAACCAATCCAAACCAAGCCTAGCCCTAATATATAGCTTTGCAAACCGTGTTTGGACTTGGAGGCATGAAAAGTATCACGGGATCAGCAAGCGGTGCGATGCGACGGAAGCAAAACACACATTTCGCTTGCTCAAAGCACGATCCGTGTGGCTCAGGATCCCTTCAGATCCCAGTCAGCCTTCTCTCATCTTCATGATATTCATGACTCTCACAACTCCGCAAGAGGTTCACCAATAAGTGTCGTCTCCCATGGGCGTCATGCCTCATAGCTAGACAATGAGTCACACTCCTTTGTGACAATACAATCACCCTCCATCTGGCAACGAACCCTCAATGCCCATACATATCAAACATTGCATAAGACACGTCAACTGCATCGACCACGTCGCATGTCAAACTCGTGGTTTGCTTATGTTCAAGTCAAGACATAGCGATCCAACACACCATCGGCTTACCCACACTTCTGTCTGTCAGTCCGTTAGCAACCAAGATAGCCCACATCCTCAAGCGCCCAAGCCTTGGCAACATATGTATTCTGAATGTCCCACATAATCATTGACGCATTGCACGGGGTCGCAATCCATGTGTATCGGCATCCGAATATCTTCCTTCTATATTGGACAAGGCTGAACCCAAGCCAAGTTCATCGAGTATTGTCATGCGTCAACCTCACTCTTCACAATGATGCACAATACGAACAACCTTGAGTGTTTGTACTGTCCTCAAGAATGTCTCGAGATTTTGAATGGACAGCCAAGTATTGAAATGCTGAGTTGCGGTCGGGCCTTTGTGACCGGTGCCTAAGAATATGTGGCCGAAGTAATCCCCAGTTGTGCAAGAAAGTGGTCGGATGGAGCCCAAGGCTGGTGCGGCTGGATTTTGTGTGGTTGGGAAATAACGACTAGAGAATGCATACGGAGAATTACAGCCCGGCTGTGTTCAAAATATAGCTGGGCAGTAGCTGGAGATTCGATGTGGCCGAATTTGAAGTTGGTAGAGTCACTGCTGGGTTTTGAATCACAAGGCATGACCGGATGAAGCTGGGCAGCCAGGTGCAGCCGAGCACTGTCGAAACTACTAGGCTTTGTTTTGAATGTGGCTAGAGCAAGATTTGGCCGGGATATGGCCGGAAGGCAAGGCCGAACTAGGGCGAGATGCGGCCAACTTGTGTTCAAAGTGCGGCCGGGATTTCGACAGATGGAGCCCAAGGAATTGCGGTTGGAGACGTGGAGGGCTACGTAGCGGGCTGGAACTCGGGGATTCTCACGGTCGGATCTGCTGGGATTCCAATAGCAGGATTTACTGAAGTTTTTCCGGCCGAAATTGATGGAGAGTTTGGAAGATCTTGGCCGGGTTTCGAATGGGAATTGCGGCCGAAATCTTGGAGTTTTCGTGGTCGGGTGCTACACAGTTTTTGGGCGATTGAAGCCTTGGGATTTTTTGTGGTTTAAGCTTTAGGGTTTTTGCAAGAATGGGTCGGGCTAGAGTTTCTTTAAGTTAGACCTTCCTTGCCCTATATATATATATATACAAGCAAATAAATACGAATATGCGGCCGAGGGTTTTTGATAGGGCTAGATTGAAGGATTTTGGGCAATTGAAATATGAGTATTTTATTATACGTAATAAAATGGTTGGCCCTTAAGAGAGCTCGGAGGTCCAAGTCCAAGCCACGTATTCAAGCCCAAGATTTTCAAAGGTCAATGTGCACATGACGGAGGCCTGACAAGGAAAGAAATTAAGGAGGTTGATGACGATTCGGAATTTTCCAAAACGAGAGAAAATCAAACAACCATAATATCTCCGCCGACATGATCCACGGATTTTGGGGGCTTCGAAACGAAGAGTTTTAAAAGAGTTGACATTTGGCCATTTAATGGCCAACCCATGGGCCAATGGGCGCCCTATATAAACTTCACCAAACAAAGGCATAAGACACACAATCATTAGACAGACAAACCTATCTTTCGTCTTACACTTTTCTTTTCCTAGACTTTGAATTTTACTTTTCAAGCACCTAGTATAGCAAGTTCTTCATTTCCTTAATGTAAGTTTAAATTCTTGCAATTTATATTACCTTGTCATTTAAATTCAAGTTTATTTCAATCGCTTTCTTTTTCATTGTTATTGAATTTTCATTAAGTTTAAATTCAAGTTTAATTTAGTTTACTATTCTTATTGTTCTTATTTCGTTCTTTTTATTTATCGCTTTGATCTATTTTATCACACTTCAATTCTTTTCTTTACGTTTAAACGCACATTTAGTTTAATTGCATTATTTTTACTTAAAACCCTAAAAATCACAAAAACATCCGTACGAAGCCTAACCATCCTCGAGCCAGAGGAAGTGGAAGAACCTAGGCCAAGAGGAGGTTCCTTGCTTGGCCGATCAATTGTTTGATCAGAAGTTAGAAGCGCAACACATCCATCTACACACATTCCATTCAAGGCCAAATTCGGGGCTTGGTGGTGGCACACCCTGCACTCAAAAGAAGGACCAAAAGTTCCTTTTGTCGGCCGCCTCTCCCGAAAAAAGGGAAACACCTACCCAATTTGGACCGTCTACTTGTATATGTATTTTTCATTTTAGTGTAACTATATTTTAACTATATTAGTTATTGATAGAACTTTGAAGTTATTGATATATTGTAACTATATTAATTATTGAACTTGAAGTTTTATTGCATGTTGAATTTTAGGATAGTTTGATATGCTAGAAAATGGATATATATATATATAAATATATAGCAAGTTATGAATTTTTTTATATTGTAATTAAGCTAACAATTTTGAAAACATGCAAAGAAAAAAGAAGAGTGTTGCTAAACAAACCCTAAAATTAACTGAGTATACCATATAATCTAAGTACACTTTAATATTTTAATCAAAATATAAGATTAACTAAGTACACCTTATTTAACTATCAAAAATATCCCTAATACACCCTATAACACAATAGGAGACTTTGGAAATCTTTTCCAGCTGCTTCCCGATCAAATTGGACCTTGACCCAGGGGAGGGGGAAGGCTCCTTTCTTTCAGACCATACTTCACCATGGGGGTAGACGGAAGAATTTTAAATTATGAAAGAGGCTTATTTTTGGGCACGAAAGACAACCCTCAATCAACCAGCATCAACCATAGCAAAAGTTGTCCACACTAAAACCACAAGAATGAGAGGGCAAGCGTGGGATAAAATTGAGAGAAAGACATGAGATTTGAGCATGTCATTTAGGGTTATTTTCCTTTAGTGTTGATCAGTAAATGATTCATCAAACTGGAGAGAAGTTGGGTTCAACGGAGTAGTTTTCTTCTTCCCTTCATTTCAAATGGGATTGCGCAGCAATTTTCCATCCACATGCTCTGTCACTATCATCTAATGCTTGTTTGTTTGAGGTTCTACTAATATTCTGTGTAATTAACGCAAACAGAATTTCCAAGGAATTACAGAAAATATACTTTCCAATCTGACAAAATAACAGAGTAAGCTCCACCTCCTAACATCGTATTTTAACCAACCAAATCGTGCAAGGATTAAAATTGGGGAGAGAACGGCTAATCTATTAACCCACTATAACAAGGTTTACATGCAAAATTCCCACAGGACCAAGTTTTCAAAATCTTATATCCAGTCTACCAAAATGAAAAGACACATTGAGACAGCTCCAAACCATGTCAGAAGTTATTTTGTATGAGGGTAATTAATAATTCAATAAATAATTTTGTAGATGGTGTACTCAGTTAATTTTAAGATTTGTTTAGCAGCACTCAAAAAGAATTGGGTATTGACCCAAGTTGGCCGAACCAAACCATCTTATTATAATTATTTGCCTCGATTTTAAAGCGAAACTAATCCAATTCGAATACGCGAGAGAGGTGGAAAGAATGTTAGAAAGAGAGAATTTCTCTGGTATGGAATCCAAAAAAACCTACCCTTCTAAATTAAAGGGTCTGTTTAGAATTGCATGTGATACCTACCTACAGAAGTATACAATTGGCAAGAGGGCAATTGGGCGGGCAGGAAGAATTGCAAAGGATGCGACAAAACAATGTGTTGTTGAGGGGTCAATTCCATCAAAAGCAGGACGCTTTTCAAGTGTAAATATATACCAGCTGGGATTGCAGGATTTGATCAGACAACTGCAGCAAACACATGAAAGACTGGATCATGCTACATTAATAAACATGCACCATTCATGGAAATGGCCCAGCAGAAACTACAAGGGCTAGCTATAGGTTAAGCTAAGCTAAGCTAAACTACAAGGACTTCTCCTCCTCCAAGGAAGTAAATTGATCGGGTTCTGTGTTTTATGAGACACGACTTGACAGGACCCAAGAGCCACCTATTCAAAGAAACAACATTTACTCGTACATACCATCGGGCAGCATTTACTTAAACTTTTGTGCTTTTGTTTTAATTTGTAGTTTAGCATTTATTCTTTTATTTATTGTTTTTGGTTTTTCTATTAACACTTTTTTCGAACTAAAAGATTTCATTCATGAAGGAGAAATCATGTTTATTTGATGTTGTGTAGTGAAAGATAGATTGATGTATCCGTAAGCCAATCAACATAGAGAGACATCTAGGTAAAGAGAAGGTAAAAGTGATCATAATTATTCAAGCAATGGACCTTAGGTTCTGGTACATATAATCTTTTCTTTTCACCTTAGGAAAACTTATTACGAGCATGAACAGATAGATATTTGCAATGATGTCACCTTCGTATGCTTGATGACAAATCCCTTTACACTTCAATTCAATTCAAACGTTAATCAGTTACTAATACAGCATTAACCACTCATTTTAGTATACTTCACAATATTTATCTCAGGACGCGGACCGTTTACTTTTTCGATTTGGGTGAAATTTTGCAAGAATGATTTTGAATAAGGACCTACAATTTAAACATTTCAGATTATAAAAATACATTATGAAGCATGCCCAAGTGTACCATTCACGCCGTATTAACTTACTAACCATATAATGTATTACCCCCTAAGATGGACATATTGTATACATGAAAAGCGAGATAGGAAGAGATGTGCACGTCCATCTAATCAGGGGTGGAGCCACAATGGGACCAGTGTGGTCCCGGGCCCCCACTCAAGTTTTTATATATTTTAAAAGTAATATACTGTTATGTATTTCTATATGTATATTATTTCAAATACTTTACGTTTTGACATATACTCACGTGTGTTGTGGCAGATCTATTAAGGCATAATGAGGTGCTTCAAATTGCCCCATTGCTCAGTTGGTGGTGGTGCACTCCAGGTGTACAGATTACCTTATTTCCATTTTAAGTATTTAAGTAAATGTTTTTGTCCTTTTACTTTAAATTTATTTTTATATTATTCTATTTACTTAAGTTTACAATGTAAATAAAAAAGTACCCCTTATTTGGATTCAGATAAAAATACTAGAAAATTAAATTCCCACCAAATCAAAATATGAAAAATCGATTTTAGTGCAAAATACGATTTAGGCTAAAAATGATGACTCATTAAGTCAATATATATTTTATACTAAAATCCCATAAAATCAAGTTTTCTTATTTGATGTGTAAGGAATAAAAGCCGCAAAAAATTATCTTGAGAAAATGATTATTTCGAAAAACCATTTTTCATACTTAGTCAATATTTTACATCAAACATTTTTTCATGTATGATAATATGATATGAATGCATGAAGGGACCTAAGGTTTTTTTAGTTTGTGAAATTTTGATTTTTTCTTTCTATTGGGTTTAATGGGGGAAAAAACTTTAAAGATATTTGCTAAATTGCTACTCTTTGTCTATCTCTTACAATTTTCTTGCTTAAAATGTATTTGTCTATCTATTTGTCGAGGACAATTATGATTGCAACCAATAAGCAATATAATTCTTGACAAATGTGATATATATATATACTATTTTTCGTATGTATTGTGAGTTCGAACTTTTGATTCTTTATAATTTGTAAGAGCCCCCACACACATAAAATCTTGACTTCGCCACTGCATCTAATAAAGGTTTAGTATATATTCTATTAGAGTTATAAAGCTAAAATCACAAATGGCCTCAAACAAGAACATGCATGTCCATATTAGCACCAGTGTTAGGCCCGTGACATTCATATTGCTTGACTAATAAAGGGAGCGAGGTCATTTCTGTCTCATTCTCACGCAAGATAAAATCTACAGAAAATTACACTTGTATTAAAATATAGATAATGTGCTTTCTTGTCATCACATGCACACTTAACGTACATATTATAACTTATATAACATCCATTCCATACTTCGCATATTATAATGTCAAATAATAAAATTATGGGATCACTCATTCAAATAAATATTTATTTAATCCATAGTCTAGTTACCAATTAACAGCATAACATGTATTCGATATCTACTGGTCTAAAGTGATCTCAATCGGACTCTCAAGTTAGTTCATAGCATGTGTGATACTTTTTTCTATCATGAGATTTGTTCTATGTGGTTTTCTTAGAAAAGTTTTAATAAGGCAACTGTTTTCGTGTTGTTCTTTATATATATATATATATGTCTTTATGGTTTATGAATGAAATCTTTTATTATATATATATATATATATATATATATATATAACAACATGACATGTATATTTAGGTGAAATGAAATACTAATGTCATAGATCCATGCGAACCCTGATGCTCCTACTTAAGGTTTCTTAACTTAATTTGATGATTTATATATGTTGCACAAACTCTAATTCTATCTAAATGTCAATGGAAAACAATGCTACATAAAAATGGTCACCTAAGTTGGGTGGCAAAGCGATCTGGACCATTATCACTTTATCTCCTTTCGGGATCAGCGCAAGCCCAAAGTCAAAATTAAATTCTCAAACAGTGACCTCTCTTTCTCTCTCCAGCATCCAAAGCAAGTCAGTATCATTCTGCATTTGCGCCTTTTGAGGAGCTGTGTGATCTCTTGTCCTGTGCGTCTACTTTTCACCCATCTCTTTTTTTATATGAATGGTGATATGAAGGCTGATGTAAAGACGTAAATTTTCAACCACCAAGACACCAACAACAAAACAGCACATTAAATTAACAAGGCAGAAGAGAAGCAGAAGAAGAAGAATATCCGAACATGGATGTTCGTTTTAGAAGATCCACCAGAGAGACCAGCCCAGACAGAGCCAAAGCTTGCAGCATGCCGATGCAGATGCAGCCAAGACTCAACAACAAACCCATCAAAAAACACCAAGTCGTCTACTATCTTTCAAGAAACGGCCATCTTGAGCATCCCCATTACATGGAAATCACCCATTTGGCCAACCGGCCACTTCGTTTGAGAGGTAAGCCCAAATTCTCTGCTACAAAACAAAACTTCTTGTTTTCTTTTTCTTCATTGTTAATCTTTTTTTCTTCTTCGTGTTCTTCTTCTTCTTTGTTTCATGTACAATTAGATGTAATGGATCGGCTCACGGCTCTTAGAGGCAAAGGCATGCCCTCGCTATATTCTTGGTCTTGCAAAAGGTTCTGTTTTGTTATTTTTGTACTTTTTTTCCTTCAAATTTTATTTCTTATTGAGCTAATTATCTTTGTTAAGCTCATTATTATTATTATTATTATTTTAGGAGCTACAAGAATGGTTACGTGTGGAACGATTTAGCTGAAAACGACACAATCTATCCAGCAGAAGGAGCTGAATATGTACTTAAAGGATCAGAACTATTTGAAGGCTGCTCTGCAGGTGCTCTGTCTCAACATGAATTAATCTCCATTACCGAGTGTCATTATTGATAATAAGAAAATTAAATTAATTTTTTTCATTATTTTATGCAGAAAGATTAGATCAGCTTCAGTTAAGCAGCAGCCAACAGATACAAGACACAAATTTTGAGTCCAAGAGAAGATCACCACTTGCTCCAACCCGAAACAGAAGAGAACACGATCATCAACAAGCAGAGAATAAGTACCTCATCACCAAGTATCCTCATCAAGATCATGATCCAGACCAAGACTACGATGAACAAGAAGAAGAAGAAGACTATGAGGATGAGAAGACAAGCTACACCAGCTCCACCACACCCCACTCTCGCTGCTCCAGAGGGGTTTCCACCACAGACGAACTCGAAGAGCCTCCACAAACCCGCAAAACCCCAACTGAGTCAACTCACCCCGAGCCATCTCCTCCTCCAAACCCATCAATTATATTATCAAATCAACCCAACCAAACCACTAGTCTCTCGGCAAGGTTCGAGGACGGCGACCCAGTTGCTGTTTCCACCTCCAAGTCTTCAGCACAGAGCAGGAACTCTGTTCTGCTTCAGCTCATAGCATGTGGAAGCTCTGCTGTGGCCAAAGCGAAGAACGCGCCCTGTGTGAAGCAGCACACAGTTTATAATACACCATTTGAGAAGAAGAGCAGCGAGAGCTTTCGAAAAGAGGTTGTGTACAAGGCTGCTGTGAAGGTGGCGGCTGAAGAGGACATGATCAATTACATGTCTGAGAATCCAAGGTTTGGGAATTTGCAGGCGGAGGAGAAAGAGTATTTTAGTGGGAGTATTGTTGAGAGTATCAGGGAAGATCGAATTTCAGCGGAGCGTGCACTCAAAAGATCGAATTCTTACAATGAAGAAAGGTCAGTGAGCATGCATTCATAATTTGCGTCAATTAATTAAACTATGTCTCTGCCGAGTATTAATTTGCATGTTCTGCATGAATTTAAGTTTTGAGTAACTTTAGGTGTTTGATTAATTTGGTTCAGGAGCACTAAGGCTGGGTTAGCGGCCGAAACAGTAGAGGAAGAGAAGAGAGAGAAGGCAGGTGTGAAAGGAAAATGCATTCCTCGTAAACTATCTTCTGCTGTATCAAAACAAACCAGGAAGTGATTGTTAGCTTGGGTTCCCATAATTATGAAGAATTGTGGTCACTAAAAGCTAAGGGGAAAGGTAAAAGCTGTGGGGAAGGGTTTTCTTTTGGATCCTTGAATTAATCTGAAAGCAGTGGCTTAGTGTGACTGTGATTCCTTGACACTCCGTATGTTGCAGCAATTATAATTCCCTTCCTACTATGGATTGTACTGTATAATGCTTTCATGAGGTGTTGATTCGGTACCTTCATAGAATCATAATCAGGGTAAACGTTGACATCATGAATTGCTTATAACATGCAATCATTTTCTGTTTAAGACCTTGAATTTTAGCTAAAGGATTTATTAATATCCATATTAATATTTAAATGTGAAGGAGAGGGAGGGGGGGTTGGGTGTGAGCACCCGAAGTAGAGCCAGCCTTGACTTTTGAGTGGCTCGTGACCAGAAATTGAAATGAGGTCACTTCCCCTTTGTGTATAATCACAATTTTAAAAAAATAAAATAAAATTCTATACATATACTAAACCAAGGGCATGTTTACTAATTTGTAATCAGAATCAAAATGAAGAGTTGAATTCTAATTATGAATTACACTTGTATTTACATTAATGAAAATGGAAGTGGGGTGTAAACGTTGGTCTTGGTATGTCAGACGCGATGTTATTAATTTTGGTGTAATATCAAGACCTTTGCGATGAGGGACCATCCAAAGAGTCACGGGTGAAATAAAAACCGGGGCACAATATTTCAATAACAATAGAGTTTTTCTATTTAAACCTTATACTTTTCCTTGTTCATCACAATACTTAAATCATTAATCTCTTAAGTTTTATTATTGTGTAAAATGACAAAAAAGGTCATCCAACTTAATACTTAACCATAAACCCTACACACACCCCACCACTATTCATATTAAGTTTTAGAAAAACACAAACTCCTCTATACCCTATTGCCAGATTACTCATATCTTTCAATCCAAAAAACATATTACATTCTCATATTCTCTTCACAAACCTTAAATGCGGTATGCAAATAGTGGCTTACGGGTCGTCAATTGAGGTATGTAATGTGAGAAGTTGCCATCAGGAAGACCACTTGCTGATTTCCCCAAAGCAAACTTCTGAATTTTGTGCAAGAATTTGAGCAGGGCTCCTTGTTTGTACCATATCTGACCCCCCCACTCACATCATGGCACGTGGAGCCTAAATAAGGCAGGGACCAGCTCAGTGGGCCATGTCGAAAGGTCGATCGGCATACTCCACCGTTTCATACTTGGTCGGCAAGTTGGAAAAGCACCTACAACTGGCACCCTCACCAACCTTCGGCACACAATACCGAGCGACCAGTCAGCACATTCGGCCGATTCCGACAGATAAACCTAGGAACTCCGGCCAGAACCTGTCAGGGCACGTGTCGATTGCCGAAGACACTCCCACAAGTCCCACATCGAAACTAAGTACTAAGAGCACCACAAATGCTCTCTATAAATAGAGCCCCCTGGCCCAGCCAAGAGTTAAGACGTTTTCAACTTGACTTGTGCTTTCACTCTGTCAAGAGAATTGCTCTTAGTCACTAACTTTGGCATTGGAGGGTCTTCGGCCGGCACTACATCCGTGTCCCAGACCTCACCTGCCGTTTCTTTCTCTAGGCCGAATCCAGCACTACGCCCTAAGAAAGGACGCTACGGCCCGAAGGCTCCTCGAGTCCAAATCCCCATTCCACTTGTAAGTTAGCTCTATTTCTATATGTTTAGTTTTAGCGCAAATAGATTGGCGTTGTCTGTGGGAAGTTCGATTGACAATTAGCCCATATCTCTTTTTCAACCTCACTATGGACCCACCTTCGCCCCTCACGACCAATGGTCATATCCTCTACCTTGCCAGCAGAGCAAACCCTGCTGCATTGCCCGGCACACCCCGAGTGGAAACGTCAGGCCGGCAGAACACCCTAGAGGATAGGATGGAAGCCCTGCAGCGGGAAATGGCAAAGATGCAGGAACACAACAACATCCTTTCCTCCAAACTAGACGACACTCAGAAATAGCTTCACGAGCAGCAATCGCACTCGGCCCAACTGCAGGACGGTTTGGAACAGACCCTGCAGCTTCGACATGAGCAATCACTCAAAAGTGTACCAAAGCCTAGCTATCAGGAGAGAGGAAAATAGCTGGTCATAGGTGGATCGTTAGTCTCCCAAAGGCTGTTTGTGCCCTCTCCAGAGGAACGCCACCGAGAATATCGAGTCTACTTCAACTGCCATAACAAACTCAACGATTGGCTTAGGGAACAGCTGACTTCCCCGATTCCGGTCCAAGCGAAACTCAAAATCTCCTCTTCGCTGAAGGTATGACGCGATCGGTCTAGAAGAAACAGACGAATTCGATTACGTTCCGACCTCTCCCCGAACAACGATCTCATGCTGGTCGACAACATTAGGATCACCTAGACTAGAACACTGATTAACCAAGGAGAACGACCGGCAAAAAGGAGGACCCATCAGAAGCTCCAACAGAGCGGCAAGCCGCGAAACACAAAGGCACGACGTTCACTTTCCAATCGGCCCCCAGATGTCAGAACCCTTCTGTAACGATCTCCCTCCGACCGATCCCACCGTTCGCCTCCTCCTGCAGAAAGTCAATCGAATCGAGGAAGAACAGAATCAGATTCGAACACCAACCTGGGGAAAGGTATAGCCGAGGCCGTTCACTAGCCGAATCCGAATCTACCGACACGAAAAGGAGGTCCAGGCACTCCGCATATCATTTTACACGGGAGTAGAAGATCATGTGACACACATCCTTCCAATCGGCCCTGGGTTGCAAAGGGCTTATCGATGAAGGCCAGTGTCTACTATTCCCATCCACCTTGGCCGGAGCGGCCCTGAATTGGTTCTATCAACTGGAGCCAGGTACGGTAGACTCTTTCGATCAATTAAAACAAACTTTCCTCAATCATTTTATGATACACATCGATCGCCTTTACTCTGCCGACGATCTTACACCATTCAGCAAGGAGATGACAAGACTCTTTAGGAGTACGCAGCCAGATTCGGCCATGAATACTCTCGGTGTCTGAAAACCGACAATCGAGCAGCCTTCGACGCTTTCAAAAGTGGCCTCCGAGTGTCTCAATTCCGGTATCTGGTGCACAGCAGCTATTTGACCACCTATAGCGAACTGATGAAGTAGGCGGCCATTCACGCCAAGGCGAAACACTTCAACTCCAAAAGAGTGCCTTCGGCACCTCCTTGCACAACGATGAATGTAGGTCAAGCCCCGACAACAACCTATGACCGTTTCCCGCCATACCAGATTACAAATCAAGCTCCCTACCGAACGGCACCTACTGTGTCTGCTCTTTACACTACAGGAGATAAGCGAAGGGACAGATTTCAAGGTCGGCAGGATGGAGGTAAACGCAATAAAGAGCCGAGTGAACAAGTCGATTTCCAAAACCCAAAAAGGGCTCGACCAGAAGAAGTCTTTACCTCGATCAACTCAACTTACGAACATGTCTTCATGACTGAAAAACAGATGATTCCAAAGCCAAGCAGCCAAAAGCTCTCTCAATTGGTCGACAAAGATACCGAAGTATTCTGCTGCTACCACCAATACAATGGCCACAATACCGAATCATGCATCGCCCTCTGAAAAATTGTTGGAAGGCTGATAAGTGAAGGCAAACTAGACCAGTATCTAAATGCACGTTCAGCCCTCGAGCAGCCGGGCAATCGGTAGATCAACATGATTAGTGGCGGTACACCGATTGCTGATTCCAGCAACCGGTCCGTCAAAAATTACGTGCGTGCCGTTCGGCACCCACAGATCCTCAGCGTTACTGAAGGGCTCAATAGAAAAATCTGTCGAATCAGATGGGAACCCATAACCTTTTAGAGGAAGAGGAAAATGACATCATTTTTCCCCACTCCGATCCCATGATCATTCGGGCCAACATTGCCAATTTTGATGTAGGACGAATCCTCATTGACACTGGAAGTTCGGTCAACGTACTCTTTGTCGATGCCTTCGTTGGCCTCGGAATCGAAAACCAAAGCCTCAACAAGGATATTACCCCCTTCTAAGCTTCTCAGGTCATGTTGTGGAGCCAATAGGAAGCATTCAACTCCCCCTTGCCATCGGCACCAGCCCCAGAAGAACGTTCGTCTACACTCACTTCTTGGTGGTCGACTGTCCAATAGCTTATAACGCCATCATTGGTAGGCCCGCCCTTACCCAAATGAAGGCCATATTGTCACCACATATGTTGCTGCAAAAATTCCCAACGCACTCTGGTATCGGCCAAGTACGAGGGGACCAATTGAGTGCATGCATATGTTATGTGTCATCCATGGGAGAATCGACAACTCAGGTATCAGGGCGAAAAACACCCGAATCCTTGGCCGTTTCCAGCTTGACCATGCCGAACGGCAAGGGAGGGTCTGAGCTTCCTGACGATCCTCGGGACGAAGGCGCCATGCCACAAGCTTTACCCGTCGAAGAGCTAGAAACGATATCCACTTTCGACACACAGAGGGATTGACAGGTCAGGATCAGCACCTCCCTCAGTCCGTCTCTTCGGACCAAGTTCATTGCCTTTCTATGGGCCAATTTAGAAGTTTTTGCCTGGTCCTATGACGACATGCCTGGCATCTACCCGGATGTCATCTGCCACAAACTCAGCATCTGCCCTTCTTCCAAACCGATTCGACAAAAGAGACGGTCCTATGATGCCGAATGGTACGAAGTAATGAAGATCAAAGTCGACAAACTTTAGGCGATCGACTTCATTCGTGAGGTAACCTACCCTATCTGGTTCGCTAATTCAGTTTTAGTAAAAAAATCTGATAAAGCTTGGCGAATGTGCCAGGATTATACGAATCTGAACAAAGCATGCCCAAATGATAGCTTCTCGCTACCAAGAATTGACCAACTGGTGGACGCCACGACCGGCCATGAGCTTCTCAGCTTCATGGACGCCTATTCCGGCTACAACCAGATCTTCATGCATCCTGCAGATCGCGAACATACGACATTCATCACCGATAGAGGCCTTTACTGCTACAACGCTATGCCAGAATCAAACTCCTACCCTACAGCCCAAGAGCTCATACTCATCTACGTTAATATATGTTCATGCATGTTCATACCGCAATTGCCAAATTTAATTCAAGAAAGACAAAAACACGGTAGCATACCTTGTTTACACGGTGGTTTGCACACGTCAGAAATCATCTTTGCCTCAAGAATCTCGCCGAAAATTGCCTACGCCGCTATAGTGCACTTGCCGGAAATCTCCCATCACGAGCTCAGTTTTACTCTCAAAAATTCAAGTATCCCTCCCATCATCTCTTCGACCCATTTATAGGACGAACCTAGCATCAGGAAACGAAATGACGCAACCCCTCACAGCTCTCCCGACACGTGTCACACATGCACAAGGAAGCCCAAGCATCATCGATTCCCACTTGTGCGAGCGCTTCGCATTCTCTCAGACTTTCCATTCTAGACAACTTCCACAACGAACGGCAGGCACCCCATGGTCGAGTTCTCACTCACCTCTCGTGCCGCCCCATGGTCGAGTTCTCACTCCCCTCTCGTGCCGAACGACAGGCGCACCATTGTCGAGTTCTCACTCACCTCTCGTGCCGCACCATGGTCGAGTTCTCACTCACCTCTCGTGCCAAACGGCAGGCACCCCATGGTCGAGTTCTCACTCAACCCCCGTGCCGAACGGCAAGTGCCCCATGGTAGCATTCTCCCTCACCTCCCGTGCCAAACGGCAAGCGCCCCATGGTTGAGTTCTCACTCACCTCCCGTGCCGAATGGCAGGCGCCCCATGGTCGTGTTCTCCCTTACCTCCCGAGCCGAACGATAGGCGCCCGGTGGTCGCGTTCTCCTTCACCTCCCGTGTCGAACGGTAGGCGCACCATGGTCGAGTTCTCACTCACCTCTCGTGTCGAACGGCAAGCGCCCCGTGGTTGCGTCCTCACTTACCTCTCATGCCGAACGGCAGACGCACAGTGGTTGAGTTCTCACTCACCTCTTGTCCACTCGGTTCGACTCCTGTTGCCGTTCACTTCCACTCTTCAACCTCCCCTTGGCTTGGGGAGTTGGGGGACTACATGATCACCATCGGCATACGATGGAAGACGTGCGTACTTGGGTCAGAACGCCGGAGCTCAAGGACAAGCAAGTCCCCAACCAAGAAGTCCCTTCTCGATCTGTTTGTACCATATCTAACCCCTCACTCACGTTATGGCACATGGACCATAAACAAGGCGGGGACCAGCTCAGTGGGCCATGCCGAAAGGTTGATCGGCATACTCCACTGTTTCATACTTGGTCGGCAAGTTGGAAAAGCACCTACAACTGGCACCCCCACCAACCTTCAGCACACAATACCGAGCGACCAGTCAGCACATTCGGCCGATTCCGATAGATAAACCTCGGAACTCCCTCCAGAACCTGTCAAGGCACGTGTCGATCGCCAAAGACACTCCCACGAGTCCCACATTGAAACTAAGTACTAAGAGCACCACAAATGCTCTCTATAAATAAAGGCCCCTGGCCCCGCCAAGAGGTAAGACGTTTTCAACTTGACTTGTGCTTTCACTCTGTCAAGAGAATTGCTCTTAGTCACTAACTTTGGCATCGGAGGGTTTTCGGCCGGCACCACACCGGTGTCCCAGACCTCACCTATCGTTTCTTTCTCTAGGCCGAATCCAGCACTACACCCTAAGAAAGGACGCTACGGCCCGAAGGCTCCTCGGGTCCAAACCCCCATTCCACTTGTAAGTTAGCTCTATTTCTATATATTTAGTTTTAGCGTGAACACTCCTCAAGGAAGGTAAAGACTATGAGTCTCTCTGTTTTACAATAGGTAATGATAGTTTGAATTAGATGTTAATCACTAAGCTTGAAAGTAGAGTGGTGAGGGGCAAGATAGTGGGGTGTGGGGTTGATGAGTTTTGTTTTGTTTTGTTTTTCTTCTGTTGGGCGTGTATTTAGGGATAGTTTGGGAAAATAGTGAGGTTCTCTTAAAAATTGTAAAAATTTAAATTAAAAGTTGGGGTGAACTCTGACGCAGTGGTTTGCCTCCCTCAGCAGTGTGTGTTCATCGAAGCTTAACTCCACGGTTCATAGCCACAAGGTATTGTTCATCGTCATTTGCTTAGGGTTTAGGGGTTTTTCTGAAGTTGGGTTAGGGTGGTTTCTATGAAATTGGTTTAGGGTTTCTCTGAAATTGCTTTAGGGTTTATGGGTTTCTATGAAATTGGTTTAGGGGTTTCTTCGAAATTGGTTTAGGGTTTAGGAGTTTTTCTGAAATTGGTTTAGGGGTTTCTCTGAAATTGGTTTGGGGTATAGGGGTTTCTCTGAAATTGTGTGATTATGATGATTTCTTGTTTGAAACAGTGAAGGAGTGTGTTCTTTGTTCTTTGTTTGAAACTGCTGTTGTTTTGCTATTATTATTGATGTTGTATTGCTATTTTATTGCTGTTGGATTGCCATTTTAGTGGTGTTATATTGGCATTGTAGTGCTATTTTATTGCTAGTTTATTTTGGTTTTATTCCCGTTCCATTGTGGGTTTAATGGTTTTGGCGATTTATGCAATTGAATTATGTGTTTGTTTGTTATTTCGTTTCATCCAAAGAAGGGAAATTGTAGGTGTTCATTTATAGTCTCTACATTAGCCACATGAATCTTTATAGTTTGTTTTGTAGTTACAGTAGCTTTTGTTGGAAATTTAATATTAACTAATATTTATTTTCCTATTTCAATGGAAATGAGTAGAGTTCATTGGACGATGGTGTCTTTGTCAATTTTTAGGAAGAGGTATCAAAGCACATGTTTATTGAATGGATCCATTAGTTGGTTTTTTATATGGTTGGGACATACCCTTTTGAAAAGGGTTCTTTAGTATGTATAAATACACTAGTGTTCCTGTATTTAAAATAAGGGAATTTATTCAGTCAAGTTTATCTATTTGAATACAGAGAGGGTTTCCTACATAATATGGTTCAAAGAGTCCTTGTGTAGGGCGTAATTCGTCTAAAGGTTAGAGTGTTCAACACTTGCCTCAACTCAATTATTCAAGCTCTTGTAATCCATATTATGTGATTTTTGATTGTGTAAGTTTGTAAGCATGCATGAATTTTGAAGCATGAATTAAATGATTATTTATGAATTTGTTTTTGACTAAGTGGGGAAGGATTGATGCAGTTGGGGTAGTTGTTTTAGCCTTTGCCCTGAAACTGTCTATGAAGTTCATCCTTGGGGAATGAAATCACTTTGACAGTTGGGTGGTGTTTGGTTTGTGGATGGAATGTAATCCAGATTTAGTAAAATGGAATGTAGATAAGAGTGGAGTGTGGAGAGAGTTTGAGAGTAGATAAGAAACTGAAATTGGGTAAAAAATGCAATTGGTATTATTTCACATTTCGGGGGATTGACAATTGATGGGAATGACCATTTCATTCCACAATTTTTTCTGTCATAAGACATTAGTGAACATACATGCATTGCATATCAGGTTCTATTGGTTGCCCCTATATTGTACGTTTGTCATTGATATATCTCCTACCTATTGCCTTGATATGCCTGTGTATTGTGTGTTTATTGCTTATTATTGTGTAGATTTCAACAGTCTGAAATTATTTGTATAATGTTGGTGTGGAGGGAAATATGGTTTCTAAAGTGAAGTTGATGATTGTTGAGGAAGAGAAGTTCCAAGGAAAGGCGATGTCCCTTTCCCATACAAAGACCGCAATAAGTACCACAAAGCAGAAATTTAGTCCGCAACAGGTATGAAGGTTTGAAGAGAGTTGTTTTGGCTATCTCTTACTCATTGAGGACCTTAAATGGACTTCAAAAATTGTCCACGGCTTGTAGTTGAGGAAGGTTGATCCGAAGACAATTTCCTAAGTCAACGGGATAAAATTCATTGTTGGCAATAAGGTGATACAATTCATGGCACAACAATTTTGTGTCGTCACAGGGCTAAGGTTTGGAAACCTTCCTTTCATTCCGATTGCAACTAATGAGAACTGCTCATTGAAAAGGAAATACTTTTGCAACAATAAAACTGTCAGCCTTTTGGAACTAGAAAAAGCCTTCCTCGACTGCGCTAATGAGGAGGATGTATTCAAGCTTGGATTTTTAAACTTTGCTATTTTTGTGCTGTTGGGTAGTGAAAAACATGTCCACATTGGCAAGCAATATTTGAAATTTGCGGAAGACCTTGAAGAGTTTGTGAAGTATCCATGAGGTGCTGTTTCTTATGCTAAGACAAATGCCTCACTTTTGAGGGCACTTTCTGTAGATTACCATCGAGTAAAAGTGCCCTAAAAAGCTACAAAAACAACAAAAAATCTTAAAAGAAAACAAAGACAACGGCAAGTGGCAGACCAAGAGAGTACCACATCAAAGGTTTTGGCTTTGCACTTTAGGTGAACAAATTTCCTTTCACGTTTAAGTTCAATTTCATTTGTTTACAGTGATTGACGTTTTATTCTTCAAATAGATTTGGGCTTTTGAGGTCTTTCCAGCGTTGGTTGCACTGCATTTTGTCGTGCACAAAGAGAATGCCCACATCCCTCGTATACTACAGTGGATGAGCAATAGTTTGGCTCGTTTTCATGAGCTAATGAGCCAAGTATTCGAGAACAGTGAGGTTAGTTATGTTTTTAATGATAATGTTATGCATATGAAAATATAATAAGTTTACTGATATGTATTTTGTATGTGTAAATTGCAGGTTGATGTGCAACTTCTCCACCCAAGTGTAATTGACAAGCAGCAACCCTATTGGACTTGGGGTGACAGTGTTGACGACACTGAAGAAATTGTTGAGTAGTTTGGCGATGACACCGAAGAAAAAACCAGAACTTCTGCTTCTGTTGAAGAAAACGATTATGAATTTGACGAAACTGTTACCCTTCCGTCATCTTCTAAGGTAAGCATGACCTTTTTGCAATACATATGTCATAATAAAGTTAATGGCGCTACTATATAATCAGTATAGTGTCAATATATAGGCAATACAATAGCAAAACAATTGCTATATTTGGGTTATATTTTGTAAGTATTGTAATAGTTGCATTATAACTGAATGTAGGGTAATGTCCTGTCCATTGAGTTACGCACTTTGAAGCATGACTTTCAAAGGACAAAGTGCATGACTTGGTAGCCAGTTCAAATCGAGTGCTTTGAAACAAAGTGCATGACTTGGAACAAATGGTACGAAAGTAGTCGTTGAAACTTGAAAAGGAGTCTGAAAAAAATAAAAAGTGTGTAGAGGATTTTGGCAAGACCCTCGCTTCAATCGAACACTATTTTAAGCTGGAGATAGAGCAGTTGAAGAAACGAAATGGTGGGTTGAATGAACGTGGGGAAGGACATGAGGACCTTGGTAGTCCTCATATGAATGAAGGAGGTGACAATGACATGTCGCCCTTACATGAATATGTTGCTCCGACTACAGAACCGACAGCAATGGAAGCACAAGTCCTCGGTGATGGAGCCGAAGCCTACGCAACCATAGAAGTCCAAGAGGCAAAACTGTGTGCTTCAGTTCCTCACATACAAGTGCAGTAAGAAGTTGAGCAGCCAGAATCTAAGAAGCTTCCTATTCCAGACGATGTGGACGGGTGCGGAGAAATCTGCAAAAAAACTGTTGTTTTTGTTAGAGGATTGGAAAAAGAGCGACACTATGCCATCGGGAGGTCAGATGTATCCTCCCATCAAACCCAAAGTTATTGTGCCTGGTAATGACGAAGGTAGTGCGACTGTTGAAAAACAAGAGGTGAAAGGTAAATGGTGCAAAAAGAAGCAACCGACCCAGACATTGTTGAGTCCATTTACTGATCATTTGAGGAAGAAGAGGATGATGAGTGTTTCGGATGCGGAGGCAACCCCGCCATGTTTTGATCCAACTAAACCCCTGCCCATTGAAGATGTCAAGGCAGTAATAGAGTTTTGCACTGCCTGGAAAAACGATATAAGGTTAGGATTCTTTACCTTGGAAATCCAATCTTTATGTTATTGTAGTATGCAGTGATATACCCATAAGAAAATGTAGCTACCTTGAATATACATGTGTGTATTTGTCATATTTTACAATGCCACAATTATTAAATGAGTAAAAAATTCACTGTTGGAAGTTTGCCTATTGTAGTGCGGAGGTGCAACTGGAATCATGTTCAGTGGGCCCTCAGTTTTTCTACAAACTTATCGATGATACGGAATAGATTAGCTCAAATGTAAGAATTTGAACTCTACTTCATTAGAATAATTCAATTGTTTTCTCACCTTTGTTAAGTGTACATTTATATGAAATTGTGCTCATATTATATACGCGAACTTCCAGCACCTTGACATGGTGATCTTTCTCATTCGGAAAACGTAACTCTCTCATCCGTTGGTATTTGGAACTCATTGGACAACTACAGATTATTGCTTGCCGGTAAACATGTTAACATGTTACATTCACTGCTTCAGTTGCGTTGGTTTGTCATTCTATAATATGCCTTAATTTCAATATTTGCAGCGATTTCTAGAGCCGGTGAAAGGGCCTGCCAAGAAATGAGGATCAAAGAAGGCAACTGCTTCAAACGTCGTTGACCTTCCAGCTAGCAATCTGAAGAATATACATCACTATGTGCACAGTATGTGGCAACACGGGTATGGGCAAGCTTGGACCAAAGTCCGGAAGGTCTATTTTTCATATAATCTTCAAGGGTCCCATTGGGTTGCAATTGAAATTGACTTCGTGAGTACAACTGTGTATGACTCCTACCTTGCTTTTACCTCAACTTCGAAGCTGGTCAAATATCTACACCCTATTAGTGATACTCTGACACGGGTGCTATACGATATGCACTTTTATAACGCTTCTGAGGTTGAAGAGGTTAAGCAAGAGGGGATGAAAAAGTCCACGTTTACGCCATTCATAGTTTGTAGCATTAGAGATGTGCCACAACAACGTGATGGGTAAGCTATGTCAAGTTAGTGCAGTTTATCGATATTGTACATAACTGCAGTTCTAATTTCTGAACTTATTGCCTCGACAGTACCTCTTGCGGAATCATGACAGTCAAATTCATCGAGCATCTCAGTGCCGACATTTCGGTGGATAAAGTTGACCATTCGAAGATCACATATTACCAACTCAAGCTTGCAATAGAGGCTTTAAGGAGGGAGGCATATATATGAGGTAAATGTCATAATGTGTGTGAATTAAGTTCAATCTTCACTTATGACTTGGGGAATTCATTGTGCTCCTTAATTATGTCGGGAACTCATTTATATGAAGATGCAAACATCGAAGCTCTGCTGGAGGTGCTTTATATGAAGATCCAGCCATTTTGATACAACTATTTGGTTTAGTTATTTTGTGTAGTAAGGTGAAATCATTTCCCGAGTCTTCGGCCCTGTTATATATGGTAGAGTGTAATATTGTACAGTCGGTGGCGGTGGCTAATTGCCTTACATGACACATAAACTGTTTTCATTTTCGGGTTTTGTTTTCGAGTTGTCGTCGTGCTTAGCATACTTATTCTTTAAATTGTGAAGTTGAACTATTTTGTACACCTCGATATATAAACATACTTGCTCTTTATGGAGGTATTTTTAGTTAAAATTATAAAAAGAGTGGCATTTTGAGCTATTTCCCCCAATTAAATGCCATGTTAGAACTTTTTTGTTTTTGGATTGTGAAAATCTAAGTATTTTTGGTAGGGTGGCATGCATTAGGGTCCAATTAAAGGCCAATTAAGACAAGCCACGTTTAAAGCAAGTTTTGAGTAAATTGTTTGTGTTGCTTTGCTTTTTTGGTTTTTTTTAATCCTAAGTTGGATGACATTAATCTATTGGAAAAAAATTATATATATATTTAGAGAAACACAGGACTATATATTTTTTGCCAATAATCTTAAATTAATATACTCCTATGTATAGCATATATGAATATATGAGTACTAAAATGAAACATATATAAGACTTATAAATAATAATAAAAGTAATTATAATTAAAAATTTGAAATTTTTCAGAAAATACTGGAAAAATTGGATCGGAAAGGGTTGGGAGTAGTTCGTAATTTGTCGGACCATAATTTACAAATACATTTCGATTTCGATCCAAATTTTATCGGAAATATCAGTTTTCGGCACTTTCAGATATCTGAGGTATCAAAGTTGGATTTTTTTGGAAAGTTTCGAACCAGAATGGATCACAATCAGATTTTCCCATCCAATTTACACCCCTAGAAGAGACCAAACCAAACTCATTACTAAATAAAAAAAAGTTATGAGATTCTTACTCATGTGTGTCCTTTATGCTTTGCTAGCTAGTTAATGCCTTAATCCCATGAGAAAAGAAACCCAATTTGCATTTGATTGTTTGAACCCAAAAAATCTCAAATTCCATGGACATGTGACAATGACATCTCCTCCAAGACACACCAAAGTGGACAAGAGGCAACTTGGAAAATGTCCTTCCCAAGGGCAATCATAAAATCATTTTTCATCATTAAATACCAATGGTACTTAAGGGCACTTCCACCGCAAGGACCCAATCCGGCACGAGAGGGCCTAGGCCCTGCGAGGACGTTCCAGCGTGCAAGGGCAAGCCTCGGCAAGGCGTGGGGCCCACTAACCCGGGCAAGCCCACAGGCAAATCCAGCTCGTGCTGCTGCTTGGGCAAATGATGTAATGATAACGTCATAGTGACATCAACAACAAATTAAAATAATAAAAAATTAAAAAAAAAGAGGAAAAAAAAACCATATTTATAAATACCTAGCCATATTCTTTACTTTCCACAACAAAACCGTAAACCTCATCAAAATTAATTGTTTATGTATAAAAAAATAAAAATAATTTAAAGTGCCCCCCGTTAAAGCACATCCACCCCAAAAGGTAAGAGCAACTCCAGCAAAGAGCTGAGCCCAAGGCTGGGGGCGAAAAAAACAAAAAGGAGTTTCCAGCGGTGAGCCCAGGCCCGGGCAAGGGTGGGTCCCACTAACTCGGTCTAGCCCGAAGGCCAATTCAACCCAAGGTCCAAGTCGCGGGTTGTGACGTCATGCGTGACGCAGGCTTCAATGGTTGGAAGCCATGTGTCACGCCCCCAACGCTCTGATTTGCTTCTCCAATCCTCATCCAACAGTTGGCGTTTTTCATGCAATAAAATTATGAAAAAAAATCAATTTTTTAAATAAAAAAACTAAAAAATTCTGATTTTTTTTTAATAAATACCTATCAATACCCTTCACTTTCAACACCAATCCTCATACATTTTATTCTACTTCTACTATTACTCAACATTTTATTCATTCTTTACTCAACATTTTCCTCTCTTTCACCTTGTATTTTTATTTCTTATTTTTATGGCTTCTTCTATCGAAACCGGAGAGGCGTGGAGCACCATGGAAGATGTTTCTTTGTGTGAGGCTTGGCTCCAAGTTTGTCATTGTCCCGTGATAGGCAATGAGATGAAATTTTTCCATATGTGGAAAAAAATTCATGCCGAATTTTGCAAAAAAATTCCGGGGTCGACTCGTACGGAAATGGCATTGTCGAGTAGGTGGAAAATTCTCAATAAAGAGTTGGGAAAATGGAGAGATGCCTTGGCAAAAGCGATGGACAACTATAAAAGCGGGGAAAATCGTACTAACGAGGTAAGTATTTTGTAATTTTCGTTTTATTAAGTTTAATGTCCTAATATAAATATGTTGTTAATATTTATTGCATTTTCAATATTTGTTAATATTTCTTGCATTTTAAATATTTTGTTAATATTTCTTGCATTTTCAATATGTTGTTAATATTTCTTGCATTTTCAATATGTTGTTAATATTTCTTGCATTTCCAATTATTTATTAATATTTCTTGCATTTTCAATATGTTGTTAATATTTCTTGCATTTCCAATTGTTTCTTCATATTTCTTGCACTTCCAATTTATTTGTAAGGTTAATTGCATTTCCATTATTATTTTTTTGTTACTTGCATATCCAATATATTTTAAATATTTCTTGCTTTCCATTTTTTTTATTAAATAGATGATTCAAGCACAGATGTGGTTCGGTGCAACCGTGGGTGGCAAAAAAAGTTTCAACCATCATGAATGTTGGGAGGTGGTGAAATATTGTAAACGCTTCATAATTATTCCCACGGGTCCCGCCGTTGTGTTAAACGAGACGCCACTCGGTGATTCAACGACATCGGATTCACCTCTCGATTCCCCTATGAGTCAAGACTCACCCACCGAAAAGGAGCCAAGGCCCATTGGCCGAAAGGCCGCGAAGGCAAAGAAAGTGGGTAATTCAAGCAATAATAATTCAAAGTTTTTGGAGGAAATTGAAAGGCAGAACACCGTAAGAATTGAAATGGAGCAGAAACGCCAAGATATGGAGGTGGCAATTCAAGCCGAGTGTGCACGAGAAAAGGAGTATTTGCGCTAAAAAGATATGGAGAAGACGGATTGGGAAACCATGGCGATGGATACAAGCCATATGTCCCCTGAAACAAAACAACATTGGAAGCTAGAACGAATGGATGTTATGAGAAGAAGACTTTTCCGGGATGATGGGCCTAGCAACACGGATTGGTTAAATGATCAAACCCATTAAATTAGTTGGCATACCTTTTATGTATTTTTATTTTTCATGTTTTCTATTAAAGTTGTTGTACTTCATGTATTTTATTTTAGTAGTAGTAATTCTTAATGACTTGTATTGGATTTCTTTATTTAATAAACAAAGCATTCAATAAAAGACCTTTTTATTCAACATATTCCATACATCAAACAAAACATAATTAAAATAATAATAAAAAACTACAAATAAGGCACAATAATAATAACAAACCACAACCAACCAAACCATAATAAATAAAAAACAACACAACCAAACCATAACTAAATAAAACATAACCAAAACATTTATGCTCCATCATTCATCTTCATTGCCTTTCACTGCCCATAGATGCTCCATCAAGTCAAGTTGACGCCTTTCATGAATATACAAAGATTGCATCTCTGTATATCGATCTATCATCCGGGTCATGAAACGACCGTCCCTCACCAACGGTTCCGGCTCAAACGGTTCTCCACTTGGCCCCATCGACCTTTCATAAATCCGGGTCAAGGCTGTGTTCATTAGATCCGGTTCGTAGACCTCTAAAGCATCATAATCGTACTTATATTATGGAGGATGATGCAAGTCATCATAATGCTTCTGAGGATCTCCTCATCAAACATACGGGCCGCACCTCGAATAATCAACCACCGAGCTTGAAGGATGCCAAAACACCTTTCGACATCTTTCCTGTATCCTTCTTGATAGGTAGCAAATAATTTTTTCTTATGGGATCGGGGATTCGGAATGGATTTGACAAATGTGGTCCACCTTGGGTAGATGCCGTCAGCTAGATAATACCCCATTTGGTAGACTGTATTGTTAACTTGATAGGTGATATTTGGGCCTTGGCCTCTCAAAACATCGTTGAAGACCGGAGATTGACCTAGCACGTTAAGGTCATTTTGGGATCCGGCAACTCCGAAGAACGCACGCCAAACCTAGGTGTCGAAGCCAGCAACGGCTTCAAGGATGATACTTTTTTGGCCTTTTCTATTTTCGTAATCACCTTGCAAGGCAGTTGGGCAATTCTTCCATTGCCAGTGCAAGCAGTCGATGCTACCAATCATTCATGGAAATCCTTGAGCTTCGGCTTTTTGTAGAAGCCGTTGGAGGTCCCTGGGAGTAGGTCTACGCAGGTAGTCCCTAGTGTACAGATTTTCAACTGCATCACAAAATCTTACCAAAGCCTCCAACGTAGTGGACTTCCCCATTCGGGCAATCTCATCCACCTAATCAGCATATGCTCCATATACCCACATTCGTATAACAGCTGTAAGCTTTTGCTCCGGAAGAAGCCCCAAAACCCTAGCAACATCACACTTTTGAACAAAGTATGCATCGTAATTGCAAATATCATGTATGAATTTATTGAACAAATGGGGTTTCATTCTAAATCACCTTCGAAAATCAACATCAGAGTTCAAAGCAGTTGGGATAAAATAATATTTCAAAAGATTCTTACCCCGAGAATGCCTATGTCTGTCCACATTCCGGCGACGACCGACTTGTGAACCCCGACGGCGACCTTGGTTCTCTTCATCTTGCAAAGTCACTGCTATGAGAACTTGTTCATCAACTTGTCTTTGCAACTCATTGATTTCATCGGCTCTACGGTTTCTCTCATTTCTTTCTTGCTCTTGCCTCTCCAAGCATCTCCTATATTCTTCCATTGAGAATGAATGGAGTATGAATTCTAAACTCTAAGAAATGAAAATATAGAAAGATGTGGTGTGAGAGGTATGAGTTGAGCCTTTGGTTTTATAGAAAATTTTGGCAAGATAGAGATGCCACGTGGCTTGATTTGATTGGATGAAAATATTATCTAAAATTTGAACCCAAATTTATCTGAAAATTGAATTTTGAAAATTTGAACCCAAATTTATCTGAATTTTGAATTTTGAAATTTATCCGAAATTTGAACCCAATAATTTATCTGAAATTTGAATTTTGAAATTCATCCGAAATTTGAACTCAAAAATCTTATCCGGAAATTTTATCCAATTATGAATAGTCTTGACACGTAGGAACCCGGAAATCTTATCCGAAAATATTATCCAAATTAATTATTGAGGTAAAAAAATTTGTGAATAAAACAAAAAAATGAATAGTAATTGCCTTTAGCCATGACAATGAGTGGAAACACAAAACTATTTGCAAGGGCAATTACTATTCACGTGAATAGTGTCTGCCCTAACTCCCCCTTTGCCATGGCTAAGGGCAAATGGGTGGAGTTGCTCTAAGGGCAAGGCAAGGCAAGGGCAAACACTATTTACGTGAATAGTGTCAGCCTTGTCTTTTTTGGTTCCACGCCAAACGGCAAGGGCAAACACTATTCACTTTATTTTCTATTTTCTTATACTTAACTATTAATTTTGATAGCTTTCTAGATAATATTTTCAATTGCCACATGTCAATATTTATTATAAAATTCTCACCTAAAATTTTAGATAACATTTTCGGATAAAATTTTCTAATTAAATTTTCGGATAAGATTTTCGGTTGCCACGTGTCCATATTTATTATAAAATTCACATATCACTCATCATACAACTGAAATACTCTTGATCCTCATAGTCCGACACAATGGAGTACAAGGACGGCTCAATCATTGGCGGAGGCGGTTCCACCGGATCACAACGTGGGGGAGTATTTTCCTACGGATGACGTAACAGTGTCATTAGTTCCAACATGGAATGCACCACTGGAACCGACTGCAAGCATTGTTCACTTGAGGAGCCATGTGTAATAGTTTTCCTCTTTTTGTGTTTTCCCTTGAATAATCTATTAAAAAAATGAAATTGGAAATGCAAGAAATATATATATATAATCACATTAAATTGAATAAAATGAAATTTTTTTTATATATTTTTTACCTCATTGCCAAAATTTTGACCTCTTCAAATGTTTGTCCGCGATCCTCCTGTTTCGAAGGAAGAATCCATTTGTATTTTTGCACAAATAGACTTTTGTAGTAGAAAATTTGGTGTGGAAAGTGAAAAATATTGGAAGGAGAAGAGTTTGTATGAAGATTTGGCTTGGAACGTGAATAATATTAGTAGGTATTTATAGAAAAAAATTCCATAATTTTTTGATATTTTTTTCAATTTTTTTAGCCAAAAATTGGACAGTTGTTGGATTGGACAAGATTTTTTGATCGGAGGCTCTAGGAGAAGCCACGTGGCTTATAGCCATTGGGCTACGCTGACGTCAGCAGCTTGAGGGCAACAACCCATTCCATTTCTGCCTGTGGGCTTGCCCGGGCTGGTGGGTCCCATGGCTTGCCCAGGCTAGCCTTTCTGCGCTGGAGGTGGAATTGGGGCCTTGGGGGGCCTGTTGCCATGGCAACAGGCTAGCGCTGTATTTTCTCTTACCTTTTGCCATGACAAATGAGTGGAAGTGCTCTAATGGGCTGAGCTATTAAAACCAGTGGTAGTTTTGAAATATCGCAACAAACACAGTACCTTTTTTGTCATAAAGCAGAAAAAATAAAGGGAAATAAGCTGGTGTAATCACAAATCAAAAATAGTGTGCTGAAATAATCAGGCTACAAATTGTATTCTAATATAATCACTTGGGGACGTGAAATGACCGAAGTGCCCTCCATATAAAAACATATCTATTGGGGAGTTATTGGCCATGGATTGGCGATCTAACACTTGTGGCTTCTCTGTCTTTCTCAGCTCTCTGTGACGGTCGTCTCTTCCTCTGTCGACGCTTTCTCTCTCCAGCGGCCACCACCACTCTATGTCTCCCTCTGTCCCCAAAACCTAAGTAGCACTCTCTCGTTCTCTCTCTGCCATCAATGTTAGGGTTTGGTGAGGCGGTTATTGACGGTGAAAGAGAGGGTTTCTTCGTTAAATGTTCTCTCCCTTAAACGATTTCTCAGTTCCCTCTCTTTTCATGTCTTGAATTGAAGTCTTTCTCTTCTCCTCTGCTCCTTCAGGGCCTCAAAAAACCCTAAATCTTGGTTTCGGTTCAGACTTTGTTCACATACTTCCTCCTCCTGCTCAATCCTGTCAGAGACAAAAATCGCGATTTTCTGTAGGTGTTGCTGGGATTTCCAATTCGGTTTTGTGCACAAAACGAGTGATTCTAAGGTTGGTTTTGTATTTGTTATTGACTAGTTTGTGCATTTGTATGGTTTTCATTTGAGAAGGATAATTTTAGTAACCTGTGACTGATGTTGTGAAGTTTAGTAATTACAGAGATTGCAATAATAATGTATTTTAACTGTGAATTATTTCATGCTTGGATGAAACTTGTATTGGTGTATTGATTTTGCTCTGTGGACGATGAAGTGCCTTAAGTTGGTATTTGTCATCTGGGATTGGTTCGTTTGTGATGCGTGTTTTCACTTCCATTTGATGATGCATATTTAGTGTGGGAATTTATTCTGGTGGCAATGGCTATTCCATTATAACACAGGTTTACCTCACTAGGCCCTAAATTAGCTGTTGAGTAATAATGCATAAGTAAATTTGTTGGTATCATTGCTGTTTCAGCACCTAGTAGCATAGTTTGCACCCTTCCAGTCTTAATGGTTAATTATGTGAATTTGAAATACTAATGTAAGTTGGCGTGGGATGTTTCTTTTCCCTGTGCTATAAAACCTGCTAAATTTTGTTGTTAGTCCTTGCTTGCAGCTTGTCATATATGTCTGAAAATGGTATTTTCTTGGGCTTTAGTATCTGTTTAGAAATTTCATGTTCATCCAGCTATGTTTAGCCGTTGCAGTTGCAGTAACATTTTGACGTGTCTAGTTTGTACACAGAGTCCATAACTGTCAATACTGATGTTCCATGTGTGCTACTGTATTGCATACGAGTAGACATGTATATGACTATGGTAATGAGTAGATTTTAGTACGCATTGATGCATTTGGAGTAATTGTTGTAGCCATTTCGCCAAACCCTGTACGAAGTGGATCCGTGGTTCATGAAATTGTTTTCACACTTGGGTGGTATTTGGTTTTTGGATGGAATCGAATATAGATTTTGTAGAAGGGAATGTAGATAACAGCAGAGTGTGGAGAGAGTTGGAGAGTAGAAAAGAGGCTTCAAAACAATTCTGGTTTTGTCATATGTATATACATATATTAAATGACTTGAAAGTATTAGTTTGAGTAATGTACGTATGAAATATGGGTAACCAATGATCCATATGTATGATGTTGTTGTGCAGGGAACTCTAGAATGGCTTGTAAAGCAAAGCTTATGATTCTTGAGGATGAGAAGTACGAAGGAAAGCCATTTGCCCTTTCACACGCAAGGACCACCATTACAACAATAAAGGCGAAGTTCAATACGCAGCAGTTACAGAGGTTCGAGGGGAGTTGTTTTGGTCATCTATTACTGATAGAGGACCTGAAGTGGAATTCACAAGTTGTCCACGGGCTGTTAATGAGGAAGGCTGATCCTAAGACAGTTACACAGGTGAACGGGATAAAATTCATTGTGGGTAACAAGTTGATTCAATTCACAGCCCAACACTTTTGCCTCATCACGGGCCTAAGGTTCGGAAAGCTCCCTTTCATTCCGAAGGAAACAAATGAAAACTGCTCCTTGAAGCGAAAATACTTCAGTAGCAATAAACCTCCCACCCTTTTGGACCTACACACTGCCTTCATCGAGTGCACAGATGATGACGATGCGTTAAAGCTTGGAATGGTCTATTTTGCCATTTTTGTGCTATTGGGTACTGAAAAGCATGTGCTTATTGACATGCGCTATTTGAAGTTGGCCGAAGACTTAGAAGAGTTTGACAAGTATCCATGGGGTGCCGTGTCATATGCGATGACAAATGCTTCACTTTTGAGGGCAGTTTCTCCTGATTACCAACGAGTGAAGGTGCCCCAAAACAGAAAAAAAGCCCAACAAACGTGGGAAGAAGAGAGCGCAGACAAGAATGGAATGCAGTAGAGCCAAAGAGTACATCATAAGGGGGTTTGGCTTCGCTCTTCAGGTGAACACATATCCAACAATGTTTTAGTTCATTTAAATACATGTACAGATTTTGATGTTTGATTGTTGTCAACAGATTTGGGCTTTTGAAGTCTTCCCAGCATTGGAAGCATTGCATTTCACGGTCCATGAAGACAATAGGCACATTCCTCGAATATTACATTGGAGGAGCAACACGGTGGCCCGTTTTCGGGAGGTTATGAGTCAGGTTTATGAAAACTTTGAGGTTAGTTTAGTTTGTATTACTCAGGTTATGATTAGGAACAAGTAAAAAGTTCACTGATTTATTAGATGTGTTTCAAATGGAGGTTGATGTTCAACTTCTCCGGCCGACTGATATTGAGAAGCAACAACCTTACTGGAGTTGGGGTGATGATGAGAACAATGAAGAAATTGTTCAATTGTTTGGGGATGAGGGCGAAGACAAAACCATCACTTCTAGTGAAGAAAAAGAGGCGGATGTTGAGGAAACAACTACCCTTCCCTCCTCTTCTAAGGTGAGCATGACCTTTTTCCAATGTTGTGAAAATGTAGAGAATACGATACGAAAGAAGTGGAAATAGTTTTCTTATTTTTGTAAGATTTCTAACTGTTGCATTATAACTTTATGCAGGGCAAAGGGTCTTTTAATGACTTTGGCAGGTTGAAGCATCAATTAGAAAGCACTAAGGATGAGTTAGCAAAGCTACGTAGTTCAAATCGGGGCCTTAGGAACAGAGTTTGTGACTTGGAAGCTATTGTAGACAAGAACTGTTTGAAGCATGAGAAGGAGTGTGACAGAAATAAAAAGGCAATTCGGGATTTGACCCTAACAATTGCTTCAGTGGAACATTATTGGAGATGGTGGAGTTAAAAAAAATTATATGGTGGAGAAGGGCATGAGGAAGTGTGTACTGCTCAGATGAATGAAGGAGGCAAAATGAAATGTCACCCTTGAATGAACTTACTACTCCGACTACAGCAGGGCCTAAAATGGACGCACAAGTTGCAGGTGATGGAGTGGAAGCCTTCCCAGGCATGCATACACAAACGGGCTGAAATGGAAGCAACAGTCTATGGTGGAGTGGAAGGGGCTGAAAGGGAAGCGGAAGTCCCTGCTGATGGAGTGGAAGCTTTTGTAGCCATGCATATACAAGGGGCTAAAAGGGAAGCGGAAGTCCCTGCTGATATTGTGGAAGGCTTCCCAGCCATGGAAGTCGAAGCCGCTGAAATTGACACTTCAGTTTGTGACAAACAAGTGCACCAACAACCTCACAAGGTTCCTACTTCGGAAGATGTGAAGGTTCCTAGTCTTGAAGATCCCCTCATTCCTAGTCCGGAAGATAGGGAAGGGTACAGAGTTATTTGTAAAACAATGTTAAATTTGTTAGAGGATTGGAATAAGAAAGAAATTCAGGGGGTGGGACGCAAGGCGAGGCCCTCCCATGGAAACTAGTATAAATCTGGTTGGTGATGAAGGGGACAAGGAGGCTAATGCCACGGTTCAGAAACCAGATGCGGAAGGCAAAGGATGCAGACTGAAGCGGCCCGCGAAAACATTGTTGAGTCCATTCACTGATCCCTCCAGGAAAAAGAGGCCGACTACTGGTTTTCATGCACAGACACCTGAGGCCCTGTTTTGATCCAACACAACCCGTGGCCATGGACGATGTGAAGGCTATGATACAAGTTTTGCAAGGCTTGGAAAAGTGACATCAGGTTAGGAATTGTAACTTTAAAACCAATATACATGTTTTTTTGATGTATGCAGTCATGTACAATAACAATATCTACGTAGCTAATTGTTCGTGTGTGTGTCATTGTCATATTATGCAAGGTGTCCATTAGTTTTTTTTCTGGTTGAATTTACCTTTGCAAGTTTATTTTTTGTAGTGCGGAGCTGGAGCTCGAACCATTTGTAGTTGGGGCAGATTTTTTTTACAAACTTGTAGATGAAACTGCATGGATGAGCTCGAGGGTAATACTTTTGAACCGTGCTTTATTTCGAAAAATTTCTGAATTGATCACTTTGAGTATGTGGCCATTTTTTTTTTTATTGAGGTCGTTGTTGTGTTGTGAAATGTCAGCACCTTGACATGGCCATGTTTCTAATACGCAAAAGACAACTCTCTCATCCTCAAGTATTTGGAACGGAGTGGACAACTGCCGAGTTTTGTCTGCAGGTATTATTGTATTCATATTATGTGTCATTCAATTTGTTGCATTGGTAGGAGTAATGTTGTTGGCTGTGTTTGGTGCATTGGATCCTGTTCATGTAACGTGTCTTTCACACTTGTTTGCAGCAATTTTTACAGCCATTTACACCGCCAAGTGCGAAACGAGTTACGAGGAAACAAATTGCTTCAATGACTGTTGACCCTCCCCCCTAACTACCTCAGAAATATACACCACTTTGTCTGCGGTTCATGGCAACATGGTTATGCGCAAGCATGGACGAAAGTGCGCAAGGTCTATCTCCCGTATAATGTTCGACAGTCCCATTGGGTGGCTGTAGAAATTGACTTTGTCAGACATACTGCCACTGTCTACGACTCGTATACTGTTTTTACCTCCAACACAATGCTTGTCCGACAGATGGAGCCTATTACCCAGACGCTTGCAAAGGTGTTGTATGACATGAGGTTTTATGAGAAATCGGAGGTTGAAGCGGTGAAGAAAAAGGGGATTGACATGCCAACGTTTAACCCATTCACAATTTGCAGAATTTCCGATGTTCCTCAGCAAAGTGATGGGTAAGCTGTGTTCATTTAAAGCACTTTGTGCATGTTGTCAGTATGTGCACTTCTAACTTCTGTACTGCTCGGGTGGACAGTACCTCATGTGGCATTATGACCGTCAAATTTATTGAGTATCTCAGTGCTGGCATTCCTTTTAATACCCTTGACCCAGCCAAGTTTGGCTACTACCGATTGAAGCTTGCAATCGAGGCTCTCAGGGGAGAGGCCTATGTATGAGGTAAAAGTCCATATCTGACCTCATATGAATTCACTGTTAAGGACTGCCTTCAGAATTGCCTAGTTATTTACCTACTTTTAATTATGTCGTACGTACAGAGTTGTGCTTTCAGTCTTCATTTCAGACAACTTACAGTATGTTGGCATCTTTTCCAAGTTTTATGAATGCGAATGGCGACTATTGTTAATCAAAGTTTAGGGTATTGGGGATTTCAACACCGTAGATGGTAATGTACATGTTTTGCAACTGGCATCTGATTTAAGTATGGCATATGTTCTGAACTCTGACTGTGTATCATCCAAAACTTGTATCATGTTGTTTATGACATCTCAATAGAATTACTTCTTAAAATTGCTCCAATTATTAAGACGTTCAAGTTTCCCTTTCTATGAATGCTAACTCTCGGCACATTTGGCCTTCTTATGCAGGTGGTCCTTTCAGGTTCATACCCATATTGACATCACAGATTCTGTACATGTATGTCACAGAAGTTGCAGGCTGTTTCGTCGTTTTGTCAATCCTGAAAATGAATGCGATGTTTTGCCTTACATGGCACCATTTTTGACTTTGTGTACAGATGGCAATAAAGGGTGCTGATTTTGTACTATGTTGCAGGGTGTTAATTTCTGTAACGTAATTCGCCAGTACTTGTATTCCATAGTAGAAGGGCTGTACTCACGTTTTCCTTTCTGACAATGCGGTTATTGACCTTCTGTACTTGACATGTTTTGTACAGGCATATAACAAAATATCCTTCATTTGGCCGAAGTTGCAGCCATATCAATTTTTTTTGGGCCCACCCCACATTGTAGCCGTTTTGTTTTGTGTGGTTCGGTGTAATACTTACTTTCGTATATTAATTATTTTCATCCAATCTGGACAGAAATGTTTGGGGTTGTTAGCCGAAACAATATCCCTAACCCTCCGCTGGGGCATTTACAAAGCATTATACGATTTGATCAGGACATTTGATCAATGATTTGATCAGGGGAATTTGTCAGCAAATTGGATGACTCTGTCAATTTGATGAATTTGGGAGTGGCTTATGTTAAAACCAAGAAATCTAACATTGGTTTCAAACAACTTCATTTTCTTGGCAGAGACAACTACACCATTTTGGCTAACTTTCTGAAGCAACTTATGCATATGTTTCCATTCATGTTCTATGGACTCAGAGAAGATAACAACAGCATCAATGTAGACTATAGAGAAATGACTATGCCAAAAAGCATTAGAAGGCCATGTTTCAAATATCAAACTTCATTTGTTCTTCAAATGTTCGAATTTATTTTATTTTAAACTTAACTTATTCTTGAAGAGATTTCAACTATCGAGCTTTGTTTTGAATTATACTAACTGTTTTTTGCAACAATATTATTTCCAAGGATTCTGCAGTTAGGTAACTCAAGCTTAGTTCAAAAAATCAAATTTGAGTCTTTCTCCTACATAAATAGAACTAACACCATCATGTTCAACCTAGAGCGGATATACTAAACCTATAAAGGGTAATCCTAATATTACTTCATCGGTGATGTTTTTTACTAAACCAAAGGCAGTATTAAAACAGATTTTATTTTCAATTTTAGCTTTTGGAATCTCATAATTCAACTGTAAGGCTTTTCCCGACGCAGTCCTTAAAGACTGTGGATTTCTTATAATACTTTGTCGGGAAAAGGCCTTCTTCAATACAGTTAAGGTCGCCTCCTGAATCAAAAAGTGCGACTCTGTGAAACGTATAAATGTGGACAACTCTTTTCACTGTACAATACCACTTTCTAAACTTCACTTGTTTTACTAATTTGAAGGGCTTGCTCTCATTAATTACATGGCTCATCTTCAAAATTGGTTGGACTTTCATATTGACTATTAGACGCAGAATCATCCTTTGCTAGACGAGTTATGAAATTCTGTTTTATTTCATAATTCTTAGTTTCAACTTTATGACTCATTTGCTTTAACTCAATGATTTCCCTGTTGACTAATTTTATCTCAGATTGTAGGTGTTCAAGGGTGACTTCTTTTCTCTTCCTAACCTTTTCTACTGTTGTATTTAGACTTATTTCATTAGGGATAGTTGATGGACTAGGACTTTCTTGGGTAATGAGTTTTCTTGGTTTCTTTAGGTACTCCGATTTGAGCTCAGGATTTGATACGTTACTTATTAATTCTATGAATAACTCTTCTTGCTCTTCTTGCGTAGTAAGGACTCTAAGTGATTTTGAATTACAACAGTTATCTTGCCAACAAAATTGGACTCCAGCTGAACTAGACTGGGAATCAGAGGACTGGTAGGGTTCTGACTCAGAAATGTTTACTACTGTTTCTATCTCACTTGTTTCAGAGTCTCACATCTCTAAACCTATAATTAAATTGTCTTTTTCCTCATCCGTGATTTTCAACTGTTGCATAGTTTCTTTGGCTTATGCACTCTGAGCCATAATGTCCGAACTTTTTACATTTTTAACATTTAACTTTGCTATTGTCTTCACTTGTCATAAAGCGACTATGTTTCGGTGGTTTGGACCTATTTTTCTTACGGTAAACTTTGTTTTTCCTATACAACTCATGATTATCTTTATTCCGTTCAAAGGCTTGTTTTCTTCGTGAGTAATGACGACTTTTCCTAATGTCACTCGGGTAATTGGACTTATTTTTCCTAGACAGAGGTACTGACGTAAGACCATATTGTTGACAGAAGAGTCCTAACGCATATTTAGCACATTTGTGCTCAGATTGTATTTGTCGACCAATTTTCATAGGTACCCACATTTTCATACCAACTTCGTTAATTGTACTAATTGTATTTCCATAGGTTAAATTATTCCAATCAATTTGACCTTGCTCATTGCTGAACTCAGTTCTTCTTTTATGGCCGAATAAGTTTGGAAGAGCGGTAATGAACTCGTACTTCTTTCCAAAACGGTTGATTACTAGCTTCACGAATCATGACTCTACAACTTAAAATATGTGTATACCATCTAAAATAAGACAGATTAGAACATCTCAGATTACTCAGTTGATCAAGTATTCTAGCATTAGTATGAGTATGGGTTCCAATAAAATGCTGACTTATAGTATAGAACAAAGTATTAACACCATATTCATCAAACCTCTTCCATTACATCCATAACCTAACCACCTTTAACCTGCCAACTGTAGATGAACAAACCTCCTATTACATTTGGAACACAACAAATAAATGACCATCCCAAACATGAAAACAGAGACCCAAAACCAGGGGTTTTTCATCTTCCCTTTTCCAGCGTTTCTTTCTTCTTCCAAGCGGTTTATTTTCCTAAGTAAGCCTGGAATTATGTGCTTCGATCTGTCACACATCTCTGGGTCAGCCCATTCCCAAAATGTACATCCATTCCTCTGCATAAACGGAAACAATATTTCCGTTACAAAGAGGCGCAGCATCACAAATGGAATCCACGAAAATGCCAAATTTCGGGTCAAACTTACAGAGAAATAAACTTACCCTTGCACATACTTGAAACCTCCTTCCCGGATGAGAAACCGTCCAGGATGTATGCGTTTTGACAACGTTCCCACAGTAGCACAGCCGTGAACATACCGAACTCGCGTCTTCCATTTCCCACCGAGACCTTGAAGGCCACTCTTGAGAGTGGCATGGAGACCTCACTGACTCAGCCGCACCGCTACGGAGGCTCCTCCTACTCATCTCCTTGTTTTCTCTGTATTTGTTGTTCAACTTGTGCGCTATTTGGAGAGGTCAAGAGGCTCATCTTGTAGTCAATGGGTTTCACTTGCATGTGCGAAATTTGGATAATAAAACCGTGTGAGCGCACCAACATGAAACTTGGAGTTTATGGGGTGGTTTTTATACAACATATCAAACTTTACCATAGGCAACACTGAGGGCAGGGGCGGCCTTGGGGTGGTGCAAGTGGCGCCACCGCACAGGGCCCCCGATTCTTGAGGGCCCCGGAAAAATGTTTTTTTTAATTTATATATTAATATTATAGGAAGTGTATATAAACTATAGCGTGCTAAAAATTTGCACAGAAGTGTTCGTGGTGGAGTTGGCTTCCCAGCGAAACTCCACTTAACAGGGGCGCACGAGTTCGAATTTAATTAATGCCAATCTATTCGCGTCGTTTTTATATTATTTTTTATTATAACAAGTTAACAACAAATTTTATATAATTATAAAATTTCAACAAAAAAAAACGAAAACAAAAGCACACCTTTAAAAAATATATATATATATATATATATATATTCTCCTCCAAGAAAAGTACTTTCTCTATTCAAAACAAAAAAAAATATTCATGGCTTCTTCTTTATCTCAAACTCTGATTTTCTAATAAGTAATCATCATCATTCATCAATGTCTCTTTGGTTCTTTTTTCAATCCTTTGACAATTTTTGTAATTCTTTCAATTTCAAGAATTTTAACCCCAACAAGAGAAAATCATAATTCCTAAATTCATAAAGACCACTCAAAATCAAATAGTCAGATTCAAAGCTCATTTCAAATTCATGTATATATTTAAATTTCAATCTATATATTACATGACTTATTTTATTAAATTATTATCATGATGATGATTGGTTATATGAGAATATGGTTTTTAGAAATATGTATCTATTTCTTGCTGGGGTTTTCTTCCAGGTTACAAGGTTTTGGAATTTTTCTTTGTAATCTAAACATGCCACCTACTAGAAAATACATTTTTGGATATACAAAAAGACATAAAAAAAATAATAATAATCGAGGAATTGACCCAATCTGAAAGAGGAGCTTTTGAATCTTGATACATTCATTGTTAAAGAATCACATGCTACATAGATTGCCAATTTGTTTTTACTATTAAGCACAGATTGCTTAGAGGAGGTAGAAAGGGATCTTATAGGGGCACAAGGAGCTTATTTTTGTATCAAACATACCAATATTTAACTTTATCAAATGGAAACATTTAAATTTTTATGAATTTGATTTTTGATTGTCATTACATGTTTATTGATGGTGACT